TTGTACAAGCATTGAATGTGATTAATAATTGTGTGTGCACTGTACTGTGTCTATTTTCTTCCCGATAAGGGGCCGAGATTAGTAGTACCGGTTGAGAAGAACCCGCATCTCAGTCATAAGCTGCAGGTAATCTCTATACAGACTGTTCCAAAATACAGATTACAGAGCAATAAGAATGCACTATCGGTTCTTGGAACGAATCAAATGTTTCGAAACTTAAATGCCTAAGGACACGTGAAGCTCCACTTATTACTCTGCATTAAGGAAAAGAGACTAGTTGCACAAGTGTATGAAAACATTAAGTGGGTATCAATACATATGTTTGCTAGACAGCAATGTACAATCAATGTTAACATGTGTATGCAGACATTTAAGTTCTATTTATACCAACTCTCTTTTCTTTTTCTGGTACTCTGCTGCTTGTCACATCTCTTCTATTTGCCTATGAGTGGAAGTTGCACAAACCCACAGTCAAACTGAAGTTAGACGGAGCTCGAAGCCACGGGTTAGTTTACATGACTGAGTAGTCAGTAGCGCAAACTAATACATGTGAATTAAATTCAAGCTTTTATTGCTAGAACACAAGAAGTGAGATCCCTGGAAATGAAGAGTAACAGAAGTGTACATTTTTATGGAAGTACTAATTATAAATGCGGTCACTGGTTTCCACACTGGAGAGGCCTCAGTCCTTGGATCGTTCTTTTAACGACTCCGCTTCTTGAACAAATTTACGAATAAAATATGCTTTGAAGGTTAATTTTTAAATACTGTTAGTTTCATCATGAGCAGCATAGCAAAAATTATAACTGTCTCCATCGTCTGTTCAAATGTACACTTCTGTTGCATAAATTGGATTTCCTAGGTCGTTTATAGACCCATCTGAAAGTTTTACAGTCTACCGAAGCTCAACACTTCCTATAGAAACGACTTTTCTCAATACGTAAAGGAGATGGAGGACATTTCGAATTGGGAAGGCTAAAAGTAGATACCGAAAAAACAGCGGAGTTAAAGGGAGTTGAATATGCATAACTGCTTTAGAAAACAAACGTCAATAAATTTTTTTATCGACCTGAAAAACTAAGTTAGAAGATTATTTATGCAACGCAGCATAGTTTTTGGGCAGCCGACATATCTGGCCGCGAGTACATGGATGGTTGGAAAGTCCACGAGAGTTTGTATGATGTCTTTTGTCCTGGTCTGGGGCTATTCAGCAGTGCGCCCCTATCAGGGTCGAACCCATGACTTTTCAACTGCAAGGGGTGCTGGTAGAATATCCGGCCGCTAGGACCCGACCAACTGTCCCACTGATTCCAAATTCCGCCAATTCAAATGGACACAGAATAAGCCGAACTTAAGAGTTCATTACACACTTCATTAATTTAAAGAAATAATTCTGATGGAGCGTACTGACATTAGTTTAACCAATTTCATGTGCAACAACCCTCATATACCTAAAAAATTAATGCTTATACAAGGAATAGCTCAATATGGAGTTTTCAAAGATAATTTGATACATTAGTATACGAAATGAATGCATAAATTCTAGTGATGAAAAAATCCCCAGTCAAATGAAAGTATTTGTGGACCACAGCTGATTTTCAAGCCGATACCATATGCGTACACAAACCTCTTATGCTTTTTCTGGTATTAGAGGATTATACACGAATTCCAGGACAATTTCTGAAACATCCACACTCTTAGGGCGTTATTTTTTCTCAGGATTACTTGTAGTCCATGCCATTAAAAGGCAGATTGACATAATTTCGTTTACTTTAAAGAAAGTAATGCGCACATGTAAAATGGAAATTAACCTACATTTCGAATAACGCAGAGTGAACTTGGAAGTTAAAGTTTCATGTTTCGGAAACTGTAACCATCAAATATCGAGTACATAAGTTCCAACTTTAAACTGTATGCAGTTAGGCATAGCGTTAGCAGACCACAGTTTAATAGTGTAAATATCATAAGATACACGAACCCATTTGTGCTTATGAGAATAAAAATGCAAATTTAGGCAGCTTAGACACTTAATTGTGATATCACATTCGTATTACTGAATGTACGTGGAAATTCTAGGAAAAATCTATCTTCATTATCGGTGGTCAAAAACAATTTAAAAATCGACGTTAAATAGTGTGACAAATGGTGGTGCGCAATGGTGAAAAGTATAAAAATAGGACAAAACAGCTGTCCAGTACTCCCAGGTTTTCCAGTGGTTTTCTAACTGATGTCAGCACATGATGAAATCCTCCATTCAATCAAACAAAAATCCCTACAAAACTAATACTTGAGGATCATTAGGATCATCTGTACTTGATAGTGCAGCAATCAAATAAGCCCGAAATGGTACACATTAACGAAGTTAGAAAAATTCTTTATGTATCAAATCTGCACTGCATTGCAGTGTTACATTAAATCTGCCAGTGGATAACTTTTCCGCTCACGATATATCGTAAGTGTGCTAATAGAAGTTATAATTTCTGTTCATACAGACATCCAGTGGAATCAAGCATCTACATCAAGACTTCTATTCTCATGGAAGTTTTGCTGCAATTTGTGGTTGATTTCTATGTAGTGACGGCACTAAGTAATCAAACAATAATCTGCTTCATATGAAAGTAGACCGCATGGATTTTCTAAGACATGCGAATTCTTCATAAAATGATACTATGACGAAAAATGCAGCCTTTACATAAAGTAGACTATTCTATTAGATTATATTACCCTCCAGTTATTCCATTCTGCTTATTATAGCAATATTTCACACAGCTCACCTGAAAGAAAAACATCTGGAACCAACATGCTAAGATAGTGCCGCAGTCAGATCACATGACACACAAATACGCCATTGGTAAATCAGAGTATCCAGTAAACACTAAATCACGCAGTATAATTTTAGTGAAGGTCATCCTAAAAGGACTTACCAGACGAATTTCAATTTACATACCAAATAAGCTCAGCAGTTTTCAGTCCACTCAAATAGTGGAAGTCAGCTGTTAAGCACAAGATTCATTAATATCTCATAAATGTCGAAATTTACCACAGAAAAAGGAATTCAGTTAGATGAGCTTACCATGCTGAGATTATCTAAAGATCATCTGAAGATCATTCGCATCATCAAAAAGCTGGAGTACAAAAGCCATTTTTTTGTGCCTGCTCGTAATAAGAGTGCAGTGTGACTGAGCGGTAGTTTTGTGCGGTGAGCTACGGCTCACGAAGGTATGATTATCGCATCTTAGTTTCCAGTTCCTGACTTGCCTAATTTTTATATTGTGGACATTTGTATGGCAACAGTAGAGAATAGATACCACGGCCAAATGACCCTGAACTGCCCAGTCATATGATTCTACGTTAAAATTGACATTTATGGTACAAATAAGTTTATCGGGTATATATTTATATATAATAAAATGAATATAGAGTACATGTTCCCAATATAATGCAAAAGCGGGTCCCAGTTTTTCTTAAGAGGGGCTATATACACATACCGAAATTCTTTAACAGATTTTGTATGAGTACCAGTTATGGGACCCACTACTTCTGATCAATGATTGACTGTGTGATCAGTATAACCTAGTGATGATAGTTATGTCACCCAGCATTTCAAATGATATTGTCCATAGTCTTCGTTGCAAGTTTCATCCCAACTTTAACGTAGCACTAACCCAGAGCCAGAGTGAAACTTTTAACAAAGATTGTGAAAAGTATTCATTTGTAACGTTGAGCTATCCGATTGGCTGTTTCCAGTCAATTGGTGATTTATTTTCCATTTGTATCATATTTATTCGGTGGGATCAGTGCGTTCTCAGCTGTTTTTGCACTATCTGTCAATTGGTGACAAATAATGTGGTACCACCTCCAAAATTTGGATTTCGCTACATGTTTGATGTACAAAAGCAACGCGAACATTCCAGCAACAGCAGAATACCCAGGTGAAATATAAAAAAGACGGACTGCAGTCTGTTAGTATAGATGGGGTTGTTGGTAAGCTAAATGGGAATTTGAGGATATTCTGAAAGTGTCGCTTTTTATCCTCTAAAGTGTTTGTCGACCAACACCGTGAAGTCTGTCTCATAAGCTTTCTTAAACATACCTCAAGGCCATTGAAGAGTAGGAGACGCTCTTGGCATTACATTATGGGGACTGGGAATTGCAGATTCTTGAGACTCCCGCGTAACTCGAAGATTATACTTTGATTGGACACTAGTAACCAGTGTGCTGTGTCTAGTTACTAGTATCCAGTGAAAGTATTCAGTACATTCCTACAGGAAGTCAATCGCGAGCCCGCATAGCTCAGTAGTAACGTCTTTGACTGCAGCACTGTGTGACACAGGTTCGTATCTCAGAAAGGACATGAGTTCCTTCAAGGTTGCAGATACGCCTTGCTGACTGGTGAGTGCCAACTAGCACAAAACCTAGGTTGAGCAAGGCTTCCTGCCGATTGCCTCCAATCATCTAATAACTCAAAGACTGTGCTAAAACTTCCTTATTAAACATCTTATGGGCTGTGAAAAGCAGTTAGTGGTTGTATAGGCTCTTAATGTAATTTACTCTTACGTTGTGTACGCGGTCAGTAAATATGATAACATACTTATGAAAAATGGTAACTTATACGAATGAGACAATCGGATCACCAAACTCCTGGGAACCTAGTGGGTCGTTCAACCAGTGTTCTTGATAGGTACTTTTCAGTCCTACTTTTATTATTTCCATACTGCTCAGTGATGGCAGTTTTTGTTTCGATGACATGTATCCACATTTCATATCAGAATTCCTTCAATGTACGAACTTATTTATAAGTACCCTGAGAAAAGAAATATGCTTAAAACCACTTACGAATTCACTTGTTTGCCAGTAAGGGATCTCTTAATATTTTGAATGTCAAATGTGTTAATTGATTCGAAATTAAGTGTATCACTAATGCTCGTGATAGTATCCCAAACTTAAGTTGATTTGTTTCTATTTTCAGATGTAATTGCAAGATGATTACCATGATCTAAATGAGATACAAAAATCAAAACCTTTCAAAGTTGAGGAAAGATTGTCGCTTAAGAGATTCATTATTTGTTGACCCGGAATTCCCTACTGATATCATTTATCCCAGTCAAAGTACTCATTTTACTAAGAATTGCAATATATCTTGGAAAAGACCAAATGAATTGTCCTCTAAGCCATATCTATTCGGTGATGACTCTTGTCCACCAAGTGTCTATCAAGGCTGTCTTGGAAATTGTTGGTTTGTAGCTGCTTGTATTTGCCTTCGTTTGCATAAGCATTTGAGACATAAAGTAAGTCAATATTCATAAGCCAGTTTCATATTTTGATAGGTCATCCCCTTTTCCAATTGTTTATGGAAAGAGTACTATGGCGTTTTGGAATTTAAATTTTGGCGTTATGGTACTTGGACTCGCGTCGTCGTAGATGATCTTTTGCCTACATCAAATGGCGAACTACTTTATTGTCATTCTTCTGATAAGAATGAGTTCTGGTGCTCACTTCTTGAGAAGGCATATGCAAAGTACTTTATTTGTTCATTTTTTGTGTTTAATTGTTTGCTCTTAGCCTGTCTGATTGTCCTTCTAAGCACCGTTTCCAACATGTATCCTTTTCTTATCAAGAATCATGGGTGGCTATGCAGCTTTAGAAGGAGGTGAATTAGCTGAGGCCCTGTGTGATTTTACTGGGGGTATTACGGAACAACTTAGTGTATCATTATGCAGTAAATTGTGCGCATATAACGTTACTTTACAGTTGGAGCTTACTTTACCAAAGTTAGCAAGTATTTTGCTCAAATTTATCATTGTCTTTCGAATAGTTATTGGCCAAATGGTTTGAACACGACAACAAACTATCTGTTTGAGTTTTTGCAGAATAGTTTCAAGAACAACACGTTAATTGCTGTGTCAATATCGGTTAGTCAGTTGTTTGGTTTCGTTTATATTAAATTTAACACAATTTCACATAGTGAAATGGTTAAGATTTAGTTTAGTTCATCTTTGAAGATGCCCCGACTAAATATTCTTCCACCATTGTTATTATTCATGTATTAAGTTACCATCAGGAAGTGTTCTTCCTTTATTCGGCCCAAGTTACTATGCTCTGTTATCTCCAAGAGACATATCAAGTAAAAAACATATAATATTGATGCACCCTGTTTATGCATTGTTACGTGCTTTATAATCAGTTTATGAGCAGTGCAAATCACAGGCATGAGGTGTAAGGCTATAGAGTAAAGTTAGTTAATGTGATTGTGAACCTTTACTAGCAGAGGTAATTGCGTTGTGTTACGTTTGCCAAATTACAGTCTAGAATTTTAACAATACTTACCTTGGCAGCACAAGATCATGAAGTTGTAAACCATGACGCTACGCTAGTTCACAAAAGAATTATCTTTGTTCTAAGTCGTGTTAAAGAGCGTATCCTTCCATGTTAGGGTCAGCAAAAAAACTTAACACCAACCGAAATAAGAAAAGATACGATTCCAGTTGATTTCATCTGGATCGTACAAACGATGCTGTTGAATATCTTTCTTTTCTGTTTTATATGCCTTATGGTTTTCTACTTTTGCTACTATTAACACCTTAGTTCTTTATTAGTATTAACTTTCTGTTCAGTGTTTGTGTGAAGCAACCTAAATACGTTTAGACGGCATTTTACGCCGCCCATATTTCTGCTCACTTTGTACACTGGGAAATATGAGAAGTGACAGAAAAGGTGTAATAGATAATAATAATAATAATAAATAGTTATACAATGAATTAAAGTCAAACAGAGTCCTGATACGAGTAGTTTTTGTAGGAGTCTTCGTTAGGTTTTTACTTTTGTTGAATTGCACCTTATCTATGGGCTTACCCACAGTTCTTGCAACCATTAAGCAATATGTGTTGTGGTGATGATACATTAACATACATCAACAAATTGAATCAGTACACTTCTTTGCCATATTTTCATGGTTGAAAAAGAATATAGTTTCTTTGACAGTAAAATATTGCAAATATTGGTTGCTTTTTCACGTAACTAGTGAGATTTGTTATCAGAAAATACATTTCAGAATATTTAGCTACCAATTTCATCTCATTGAATTTAGTGGTTAAATGATATTTATTAATGGTTTTGTTTATTATTCATTTAGAAAAATAATCAGCTAAGTGAACAAGCATTGTGTAGTGATGAATTGGTTGTTGGGCATGCTTATGCTGTTGTTGCAATTCTCTGTCACTCATTTGATGATCGTAAAAGTTCAAAGGCATACAGTGGTCGATATATATGTCTGGCCAATCCGTGGGATTTAAGGACCAGTGGTCTTTCGTCAGATATAAAAGTGAGTAATGTATCAAATTAAGACATGTGTAAAACCAAGTAATATATCTTCACTCAGTGTTTTTATCCTAAAGCACTTTCGTTTGAATACTCTGAATACTACTACTCTACTTATCGAAGTAGTTTGTAAAGCATAACCATCGATGTGCGGAAATAGCCTGGGTGTTGATAGTTTTGGTAGTTGGTCTAGTATATTAAGGGCCACAAGTCATCTGTTATAATGGTCTCACTTTTCCTGCAATTAGATTTCGTCTAGTGTGTCCTTTTGTGTGACAACGCTATAGAGAAACAATAGCAGATGTAGTTCAATATGTACATTAAGTTTTGTGCTCTAGAATAATTCAACCCCATTTTATGGCGGCCCAGTGATACTGCCTGGACTTTCATCAACCTATGTAGATCATGCAGTGAAACTTGTGTCTTCACAATGTCCGTTTTTTTCTGGAAGACAATGACCGACCTCTGTTAGCATATATGCGCTCCTAGAACGTACACTTTGATTTTACCTTTTAGTTTTTACTTAGTGTTATTCTCTATGTAAGTAGCTGGCAGTAGGATTAATGAAATATTCTAGTTGTCAACTGGAAGTACTTGCGTCATGGTGAGCTGCAGTGCAACTAGAACCAAGTACTTATCATTTCATATATATGACTATTTTATTCTTCAGATCGAACAGCATTGCGTCACATGATGTACTGTTTTACTTGAAACTCCTGGATGAAGAGAAAATATTATACAATAAACTACTCTGAAAATCGTGCATTTTGTGTAGACTTATTGTGCAGAATAAAGCTGTTATTATTATATATATCTGCTAGAATATCCTGTCTCATAAATTAAAAAAAAATACCTTACAAAATATAAACTGACGTATATGTATGTGCCATGTACTCAAGTTAATAAACAATTATTCATTTTTCCACTGAAAATTTCTTTTCATTCCTGACGTTTCGCGTGGAACGTAGGGCTACAAGCTTTGAAGTTTCAGTAGCGGTGGGGTTGCTAGCTTCACACCCAACCTTCCCTCTTCGTCCCTTGCTTTCTATCAGCTAGTAGACTAGGCGAAGTACATCGGCAAGGAGTCGAACCCGAACCACCTACGAGGCTGGCGATCATCCTACCGTTGAACCACTGACGTACTGAAATATAGGTGTCACTTTTTTATGAGAACAAACTATCGGATAGCTACTCAGAGGAAGTTAGATGACGCGAAACGCATAACTCAAGCTCTGTAGTCGAATAGTATGCATTCCTAGGATAACCTTCCTTCCTTCCTTTGAATTTCAAATCCATAGGTTACTTCCAAAATCTCTCCGAAAAACTTGCATGCTGTCTACAAAATATTTCATACCAAGAACAGTTCCGTAACATATTTCTGTGGTTGATGTGTCTAGCTGCACTATTTATTTTTAACCTTTAGCATATGCAAGTTCCTTTTGTATATTTATTTTATTATATTCAATATTTCTAATCCAGGATGAGAATAATTTGAACCATTTTATTACGAAGGAAAATAAAGATGGAGGATTTTGGATGGAATTCGATAACTTTATCCAAGTTTTTGATACTATAGTATTGTGTCACACTCCTGTGGCTCAATCATGCTTTAAATTTATTCCAGCGTTGGGTTTGTTGTATTCTAATGAAGTAAATATTTCAACAACAAAAACAACCAGAGATGACTGTAATGATACCCTCGGAAGTCGTGTAACATCATTGTATAGTGTTCCTGAAGATATTTTATGTCAGAAAAGATCATGGTTTGAAATCAGATTTCACAACAAATGGTCTCCTGAGTCAGATGGTGGTTGCTTAAGTTATTCCAACAGTTTCCTTAAAAATCCGAAGGTAATTTTTTGTGTAAAACTTGTGTTTTCCATATATATAGCTATCATGAAGCTGTAGTGTATTGATGCAGATATTCCACAGATGACTGCTGAAAGTCCCAAGTCAAAATTTTGCTTCTAAATAATTACTACATGACATTGATACTTTTGGTTGAAACCCTCAACGACAAAGTTTCAGCTGAGGTAGAAAAGACTTGTTTGTCATTTGAGAACTTGCACTATCTTTGGCTCACGCGTAATATCCGACTGCCCATCATGGGGCATGTGTAGTGTGCAACAGTTCCTTATTCTATTCTACGTTTTTGACACAAGTGCCAAAAGAAGATATTAAGAGATAAGAGGTCTTTGACCACAATTACCTTCGTTCACTTGTTTGCACTAGTTGGGACTACATGGTAAGCAAAATTGAGGTTAGGCTTTATCTATTGAGGTGACGAAAGCGTTTGTCACACATACTGAGCTATTGCTTCCCTGGACGAGTAATGCTGGTTAAAGCAGGATTAGGTTGGAAAAGAGTTGTGTCATCATAATGTTTGTCCACTTCTGAATAATTGAATTTACTCAAAATGATCGTTGATTTGTTGTTAATGTATTTGTCAAAGCTTAATTGTTCAAAATCTGTCAGCAAAGTCCGCATTGCAGCTAGTAAGCTAAGTGATAGAACCGTGGAGTTCACTGTTTTTCATATGACTTTTTAGGAGATGACAGCCGCATCGGTTGACATACAGTTATCAATTTTCGTTCAGAATTTGGTGTCTCAGTTAGTCAGTTTCCATATAAATAGTTCAATGGTGAATGAATGAATCATTTGAGTAGTGTGCCTATTCTTTATTACTGTAGGATTCAGTAATATTGAGTTGATTGTCCTAGATACTTCCAAAGATTCGCTCACTATAATTCTGTAAAGCTTTTCGAGTAAATATCATGTAAGTAATACAACTTTCCAGTAGCAAATCTTTTGGTTTTATCGAAAATGTATTTCACTAAATGAAGTGATCTTATCCAGTTACCCGGAACAGGTTTTCCATGTACTAGCCTGTGAGCCACATGTACTGTGTGAGGGCTCACGATGCTACCTAGTCGCCTAAGCTGAAGTAGGTGGAGTGGGACTTGCTGATGGGTTCCGATAGGCGCGAAACCCTGGTTGATGGCTTCCAAACGTATATAACATTAAGCACTGTTTTCTGATTGAGAAAAATGGCTAAATATCGTGATAATGTTTGGTTTACAAACATTTATCTTGGTATAAAAAGTGTAAGTTTGGTAATTAACAGCGTTTTCTTTCCTGTTACATGAATATTAGCATCTATAAAGTGATAAAAGTTTCCACATGTGTTTTATGTTTCTCCTCTGCTAATTATTTCTACACACTGATTTTGATTTTGAAACGATAAATTGAGTTTTTTCCCCTGCAACTTTCAGTTCTTGATCACTATTCGTAATCGAACTGGTTCCTGCTTGTTAATCTCTTTAACACAAAAAACCAAACGATATACAATACCTCATAGTTCAACAACAGGACTATTTCACATTGGAATGAGTTTGTTTCGCGTAAGTTGATAATGTATGCCACTTAAATGACACATTTAATTTTCTATTAAATTTAAACTGAAAGTATGAGACATCTCAATTTAACTATGAACCCTAATCTACTAAAGATAGTTGAGATATGTATTGTATGTCTAACTAACTACTGTATTTCCCTATGCACTATGATGTGTTATGCGATTAGAGAGAAAACCAGCTAAGGATTACCAAACTGAAACAAAACACTTAAACATGTGGTCTGTCTTCACCTAACTCGTATAAGAGAGTTATAGCAGACAGCAGGAAGAAATAACTGGTAACTTTGAATAACACGGTATCCCTAACGTAAAGAAGTATATTATCTCCTTACCTGCTGCACATATGGTGGTGTCCAAGTGGCTCTCTGAGGGTGAATGTGTGACCGATGCGTCTACCACCTGAACGAAGATCAACCCGCCCTTTGAGAATCAGTTTCCAGACGTTTTATGTAGTCTGAAAAGTATGGCAATAACAGATACCACTAATAGACAACCCCCCCCAGTTACTGTGACATATAACAAAGGCCTTTTCATGAAAATAGTCACGATGATGTTCTGGTTTCAGAGTGGTAGGATCTTCTCAATCTGTCATACTTTCTTGAACGATTTAGTCAGTTCTTGTCTCCATCTTTAAAAAGTTAAGGGTAATTAAAGTAAGTGGCTGAAGAAAATATTTCTGTACCTGCTGGTTATCATCTTTATTTTAGCTTTAAAGCTATTTGCTTGGCGGCAAGTGATCGCAGAATTTAGAATGTTAGCTTCATCCTTTTGGGACTCATCATCTTAATGTATCGCTATTCAGATGCAACATGCCAAAAGGTTATCCATTTCACATTTGGGTCTTAAAAGCTATCTTTGTTGCAGTGGTTATTAGTTACCACTCGTTTACAATTGTGTGGAGCTATGGCTAATTCGTTTAGGCGTTCGACTTCCAACTAGTGGGTCGTGGGTTTGAATCCCGCTCCACCTATTGAGGTTTGGTCAAGCCAGGTAGTATTCTAACGGCAGAAGATCAGAGAATCGGTAACGAACCTTTCGTGTTGTGAATGGTGTCATTTTCCGACCAGTCACTGGGATTTCATGCCTTATCTTATCACAATAGCCGTAAGGGTCTCCATCTTCGGTGAATGTATAATCGTATTCTCTAAATACCGTTGTGATATTCTGTATTTTCGACGCCTCCATCACTACTACCTCGCTGTTCTTTTATTTGCTGATAGATCCTTTACTTTGTAATCACAACCCTTACCTTCGTGTTAATTACGACACTAAGTATCGTTTGCTGTAACTGAGTCACAACAATGAACAGAAGAGTTACTTGGCGATCCTCAATGTAAACACTGCAGTGTGACCTGCTTATGATCATGAATATGTATCCACCCACCGTTTGAACTGTCACTGAACACGGTCTAACACAGTGATACAGATTCTTGTCTGTTGACGAGACTGCCACCCATGTACCTATTAGACATACGACTTCTGTATCACTAGCCCTAACTAGATGTGATTCATTGTCAACTCCATGGAATTGCTTTAAATGATATCCCTAATGTTTGCCAATTAATCTGCTTATCATTCTTTGTAACATACTTATTCGATACACAAGTATTATGAATCAATAATAATTATCTTGTTTCCTAGGTGATAAATCATAACATGAATAATGATAATAATAATAATAATCAAGTCTACTCTTCAGTTTATCGAAATACTCGTACAGTTTCTATTCTTCTTTTCTTAAATCCTGGGCGTTATGTTCTACTCCCAACTACATTTTATCCAAAATGTCATGCCGGTTTTATGCTGAGATTTTTTAGTACACATAAAATTTCAGTGAAGTAAGTAGGTGTAGAATTAATTGTCTATTTTTCATTACCTCGTTCAGATTTATAGTTTGTCACTTTCTTATTGTTTTCTTTCTTCGTTGTGTCACGTAAACAAATGACAACAAGTAAAGACTACTTATTTCTACTTAAATCTGCTTCCCTTTTAGTCAAACACCTTTCTGTATAGAAAATATTGAAACTTCCAATTATGAACATTGCTGTGGGCACTTTTCATTAGCAGTGGTGAATAAACTGTCAACTAAATTGAGAATTCTATATTCTAATGCACGTTCACATGTAAATATGAGAAGATGAGAAATATTAATCATACTCCCTATCAATGTTTATTTGAGTAGTATGGAGAAACAGTCAACTGCAAGCAGACAGAATAGGTAAGTTTTTACATAATGACTGAATAATCTGAAACATTGTATACGATAAAGAAAATAGTTGGAGTTGTGTGTAAATACGAGAGAAAAGAGTGTCTTTTAATTATTTTTACTGTCCATAAGATTTCGGAGCATATATGTGTACAACTCTATTCATTATCGTGAAAATTACATTCAGTGTTTTACCCAAACAAATGACCGAAAAATATATAATATTATACCGCTACATGGAGGTGATGAGGATAACCAACCAACAACAACAACAACCCAGCACCGATCGCCATCAACGGAGGAGATTTGACAGAGTTTACTTCCTTCATTTATCTAGGAAGCACGGTTTCAACCACAGGCTGGCGGAACGGATGAAGAAGTTAAAGCAGGCGAGATTTGGAAAGGAAAGATACGTCTTCATCAACCTGAAACCAGTTAGGAAGTTTTCTGCACTAACTCAGTCAGCATAAACAACAAGATTCGGATTCTGTTCAACACAAATGTGAAGTCAGTCAATTCTTCAACACGGGTTAGAGATTTTCACTGCGCGTCACGAAAAGGATTTCCTACAGGTGGCAGACTTTTATCAATAACTGCTTTCGTTGGCTCCATACTGAAGGTCAGATGACCGGAAAGAATTAGCAGAAAGAAACTCTGGAAATGAGCTAACCAAGGACCTATTGCCAAACAAATATGCAGAACGAAATGGCGATGGATCGAAAGCACGTTGAGGAAAACATCGAGTGACATCGCACGCCAGGTCATCGCTCAAGCAGAATCCTAATGGGAAGAGACGAGTGGGTCTTCGGTGCGAGGGTGACATGTAGGAAATCATGTGAAGAGAAGATGAGAGATTATTGGCAGTCGTGGACCCAGCCGAAGAGGACAGCAGAGAATATAACGAAGTGGAGATGTGTTGTTGAAGCCCTATGTTCCACTCGGGACCCAAGGGAATAATAATTGCATAACTCCATTATGGATAAGATTTTATTTTGATAAATCACACAGTGTTGTACAGTAATATTAACTGATATTACTGTGATTTATCAAAATAAAATCTTATCCATTATGGAGTTATGCTCTACCACAGTGCTCAAGTTTTATACTTATATCAATAATAATTGCACTTTTTTCCTACTTTACCAATGTATAGTATTTCTAATTATCTGTCTACGGCAGCAACTGCATTCATCGTTGTTCGTTATTATTATTCCCTTGGGTTCCGAGTGAAACGTTGAACTTTAGTCGCACATCTCTATTATACTCTATACTCTTCACTATTTTTTAGCTGGCTCCATGATTCCCCACAAGTTTTTATTTCCTCCTCATGTGGTCTCCTCCATGTCACCCTCGGGTGTCCTACTTGTTCCCCATTAGGGTCCTACTCGACGACTTATCACATGATGTCACTTAACTGTCTCCTCAGTGTGTATGTCCAATACATCTCCATTTCCCTCTGGTTATTTGTTGGATGATAGGTTCTTGGTTGATTCATTGCCTGCCAGAGTTGTTTGTTGCTTGACGTTTCTGTCCCGGCCATCTGATCTTCATTATGGAGACGAGACAACTGTTGGTGAAAGTCTGCAGCAACCTGTTGGAAATGCATTTCTTGACACGCACACTAAGTCTCTGAACTGTATAGAAGAATTGACCGACTTGACAGTAGTATTGAAGATGCAGATCGTATCCCGTATTCCGAATGCAGTAAATTTCCACACTGATTTCAAAGTAGTTAAAGTCTGTCTCACTTTTCCGATTCTGTTTGGCTTTGAAATACTCATCTGTTCACTAGAAGTACATAAATTCATTATGTATCACTTTCGCAGAGTCAGTATTGCGTCAACTTTTTGATTAACTTTGATTGCGAAGGGATTACACACTTGTGCCTGACTAGCATTTATACTTCATTAGTGTTGGCTTCAGTTATTCTTTGGCTTTCGTGTTCTCTATTAGTTTGTTTATTAGATGTATCACACAGTGAAAAAGTATTATTTACTGGATGACGTTTCGAACAAAATTTATTGTTCATAATCATATCAATTATAATCACACGACTTCGAAACTTGAGTTTTATAGTTTTCTTTGTTCTCTCCTATTTGTCGTCGTAGGGGTAGTAGAATTTTCCAGATATCCGTCTGGGACAGGTGTTGAATCATTCCTATTACACGTATTTGCAGTTGATTCGATAAACAAAGCTTCTGTTATCAATCTCTCCCTCCACCCTGTTACATTAGATTTTAAAACTGTCATCTTATCCCTCCCTCCTATTGTATGGTTGTGTGTAATTGCATGTAGTGAGTGGTATAGCTGAACTATTCTCTAGATTTCTTATCTTATTCGGGTCAACTAATCTAGATTTTGCTAGGTTTTTATGCTCCGCTAGTCTGACTGCACCTGTTCTACTACTTTGACCTGTGTATTTGACCTGACAATCATTCCAGCAGGGTATTAGATAAACTAAATTGTTTTGTTTTAAAGGCTCCACAGGATTTATCCTTTAACCGACAAAGCTTGTTTCTAATTGAGTTTGTGGGTTTGAATGCCAGTCACTTTTATTCCTGCCTTGTTAAGAATTCTTCGTAAGGTTTCCGAGGTTCCTTCTTTGTATGGAAGTACTACTGATGATTTATATTCCCTATTGTTGGTGTTGTCATTATCCTGCGCATGTTTGACATGCATGTCATCATTAATATTATTATCACTATCACTACTATCATTATTTATTTTTACATTTCCCTACATACTTTCTGATTAATTTATCAGGGTAATTATTAAGTTCCAAAGCTTCTCTTATATGCCTCACTTCCTGTCTTAGATTTTCCTTGGTACTACTTAGTTTTTGTGCTCTATTACTTAAACATTTCACCAATCCTATTTTTACTGACATGGGATAGGATGATCGGAAATCCAAATATCTGTTTGAATGTGTGGGTTTCCTGTAAACACTAGTGTTGAACTTCCCATCTTCTTTCCTTTTTACGCTACAATCTAACATTGGAAGCTCCCCTTCCTGACTTTCCAATTCATAAGTGAATTGAATTGCCCCCACCTTTGAGTTAATGTGTTCGAAAAATCTATCTATATCCTGTGTTCTAAGTACAGTGAATGTGTCATCTACATGCCTCCACCATACTTTTGGAGTGAGGGTGAACGTTTCAGTCGCCATGTTTACCCACCTATCCATGATTATATCTGCCATAACCGGGGATATTAGTGACCCCAGGGTGGAGGGAGAGATTGATAAGAGAAGCGTTGTTTATCAAACCAACTGCAAATACGTGTAATAGGAATGATTCAACACCTGTTCACGCAGATATCTTGAAAATTCTACTACCCGTACAACAAATAGGAGAGAAAAAAGAAAACTATAAAACTCAAGTTTCGAAGTCGTGTGATTATAATTGATATGATTATGAACAATACATTTTGTTTAAAAATGTCATCCAGTACATAATACTCTTTCACTGTGTGATACATCTAATAAACAAACTAATATGAAATTGCTTACAACCACAGGGCCCAAGTTTTACAAATATATTAATTTCGTATTCTCTGTTTTTAGTACATGTAATCAAATCAATAATATCGTATAGAATCACAAAGTGTAATCAACAGGAAGATCGGGTAGAAAAGACATAATAGGATCATAATTACTGGAAAACTTAACCGTTTGTACAATTACGGATTAAAGACGTAGTAACAAAATAGGTAGGAAGTTCGGATTTATACAAAAAACAAAACATATCTATTAATGCAGATAGGAATTAAAAGCCTAAAAAATAACAGAAATACACAGGAAGGTTATTTTTGCGCCTTTAATTCCTATCCGCATTAATAGATTTGTTTTGTTTTTTGTATCAATCCGAACTTCCTACCTATTTTGTTATAACAACCTCCTTAATCCGTAATTGCACAAACAGTCAAGTAATTATGCTTTTATTATGTCTTTTCTCGCCGACCACGCATGTGGTCCGAGGTTCGATCCCCGGCCACAGACGGACTCCTTTACCTCGCTAAGCCAGTAATAAGGCTGGTAAGGGGGGAAGGTTGGGCATGAGACTAGCAACCCCATCCTGAAAAAAATATACACCACTGCTACCGAAACTTCAAGCCTGTAGCTTGAAGCCCTATGTTCCACTGGAAACAGGAAGGAAAAAAATGTCTTGTCTACTCGATCTCCGTGCTTATTACACTTTGTAATTTTATTAACTTGACCTTTGATCTGAGTCGTGCTACCAAATATCATATAGGTTAGATTTATGTATTGTATTGTAGATTACATCCGTTGCACAACGATTATAGTCGTACTATCGAGTAGTTCATACCGCATTAAGCTTATTCTTATTTTTTTTCACAGTTTCTTGTTTCATACGCAATCCTCTCTTGTTGTTTACAGGATATTATCGAAATTATTGATGTGGAATGGCTTTTAAAACATTCGGATATATATGTGTGTTTGTCATTCACTGCCACAGTTGATTTATACAGGAACCCAAGTATAATACATTGTCAATATACTGCTGCATGGGTTTTGCAAATAGATAGATGACATGCATTTCCAATCTGTGGAGATTGATTTCCACTTGAGTGAACAACAATGAAAAAAATACTTGTTGCTCATCAATTTTTTTTTCTTTCAGTTTTTTTCTTCTGATAAAAGCAATCAAGTATTCCATAGTGTAAATACTAACTGTATAACTGTAATATTATTATTACTACAATGTGTTTACAAAATATAATAAATATTATTTTGTGAGATTGTTTTACTTTTTTACTTTATTTTCATATTATAAACGATGATTTGTTTGTTTTTTCATTTACTTTCAAAAAGTTTTATTGATGTTGATAAAAGTGTAACATCTGAGTGGCACTATTTCAGTGGAAATCACTCAAGCATCACTTTACTAAAGACTTGCTATAGTTTGAATTTGTGTCTCTATTTTATTGCCTATTTTGAGTTATCTTAAGAAACGACTACTTTCACGGATTCTTGATCCCTTCAGTTTGATTTAATATTTTATGCTACATGTATGTTTATGGACACGTCACATGCCAAATAGGGATTGATCTCGTAGGCTTTTTTTATTCGATTCAAAATACTGTAGCAACAGTAACCCTTTACGTAGAGAAGTAAGTGACAATTCCACTTTCCCCATTTCTGTTTAACTTCATCATAGATATGCTAATGGAAGTATCCTTAACTGAACTTAACGACTTAGGAATTGACTTGTTACCAGGAATAGTCTTATGGACTTAGAATATGCAGATGACATAGTCCTGTTAGGGGAGGATGCTGACAAAATGCAGAGTCTTCTGAACACCTTGAGCAGCAATCTTCGTATGTTTGGCATGCGATTCGCCCCTGTAAAATGTAAGATGGTGCTACAGGACTGGACTACGTCAACTCTTAGCTTAGTGATAGGGAGTGAAGCGATAGAACATGTTGACCACTTCACCTATTTGGGAAGTTGTATCAGCACCAACGGATTGATTGGTGACGAAATCACAGCACGGATCCAAAAAGCTCGGGCTGCTTTCGCTAACCGTCTCTGGTGTAGGCGTGACATACGGCTATCAACCAAGGGACGTGTGTACTGCTCAGCAGTTCCCTCCTCCTTCTCTGTGGCTCTGAAACATGGCCAATAGGAGTTGAAGACATGAAAACGTTGACTGTTTTTGATCATAGATGTTTACGATCTCTTTCTCACGTTAGGTGGCATATAAGGTAAGAATGTTGATGTTAAGCGTAGAGTGTTGGGCAAAGAGGGAAAATCAATCGAAGAGGCTATAAAGTTACATAGATTGAGATGGCCAGGTCACGTGCTGCTCATGCCTAACCATCGCCTCCCCCGACGGACGGGCATTACTAGCTGATATAGGTGCAGGTTGGAAAAGAGTAAGTGGTGGCCAAACAAAAACATGGCCTCATCAATCCATGAAATACCTGACAGTTAAACTGAGTCAGATAGGGAGATGCAGACTTCCTGTTGGTGGGGCCCTCGGGACTCTAAGAATCAATGGCTGGAGACACTAGGTGACATGGCTCGAAATCGTTGTCAATGGCTTACTCAGATGTATTCAGCCTCTGTAATCTTTCATATTCCTTTCTACCATTACTCATTCTGTTTCACTCTTATACTTGTCAAAATTCTATTGATTCTCTTCACTCATCTTCTTTTCTACCTTTGTGTGCTATTTGGAACGTGGCAACTCGAACTGCTGCACTTCGGTGCCAAGTTCTATGTTGAATTTAGCCTTCTGGACAATTCAAATAGTAATTTGAGATTGTCTGTCACCCACTAAGGGTAAATTGTTTCTTTCAGACTTGTCTGAATTGAAATTGTCTCATATTTATAAATGTACTAATTGCGGGCATTCATCAGTCTGTATGATCTATAGAATATTGGAATTCATGCAAACGTTTTAGTTGGTCTTTGGCAAACTTTTTTCATCTTTATTCTTGAATAGATATCGAAATACTTTTTAGAGATCCCATGTGCTGCATTATGGTGTCCCCATATCCCACTAACTTGCTGTGACCACTTGAAGAGATTTTCGATAGATAGTTACTCAATTTTGTTTTTATCAACATTTGGTGTATTCACTAGGTAGTGAGTGTGGAGTCGGTGAATAAAGAAATAAATTCAGATCATGTAGTTATTGACATTTTTGAATGAAAAAAAATGAAAGTATCCAATACAGTCCTACAGGAGGTCGATCGCTAGCCCAAATAGCTCAGTGGTAACGTCTCTGACTGCAGGCGGCACTGGGTGACACGGGTTCGAATCCCGGAAGGGACATGAGTTCCTTCAAGGTGGTTGCAGATACGCCTTGTTGACTGGTTAGTGTAAACAAACACAAAACCTAGGATCGAGCAAGGCTTCCTGCCAATTGCCTCCAACCATCTAATATCATGAAATGGGACATGTTTTACATATGCCTATGTAGTCTTAGGTGAATTAAAATTAAGTAGGAAAGGATAGGCAACGTGAAAAATGCCAGCTACACATAAAACTTGTTACAGTTAATCTAAGTCAAGTGTTCAGTAATGTGGACCTCTCTGTTGTAGTCCACATGACAATGTGGATGGCTCATTTAAAAATATGCGATGCCGTACGTATTCGACGAAAATGTAAAAATATATGCAGTGATGTTGATTGTTTAGTTTAGTACTTAATAGAAACCTACTTTGAATAAGCAATAAGAGGAGTACTCTTAGTATTTGTTTAACTAACTTCCTTTAAGTCCTTTGGATGTGGAATACACCGATTACTGTAGAAAGAAAGATGTTAATTGGTTATGTCGTATTAAAATGAAAAGATATGATGTCTTAGACCGCTGTGTCAAAGTTAATATTCTAGTATCAATAACAGAGCTAGAAAACGTAAATAGTCTACCCCGACAGTTGTTACTTTTGATATTTCATTCGAACTGTGCAGTGATATTCTGTTGTCGGTGTTATTTTACACCTGATTCTTCGTTTTGTAAATAATGTAAGAGAAATAAAAAAGAAACAACAGGATTGCAATAATATTCGTTTTCTTAAAGCATTAGACTTTTCATCTGCATTTACAGTAGTTGTAAATAACTTTCTTTTGTTTTTCATTCATTGCATTCCGTGTGGAACATAAGACTTCAAAGCCTTGAAGTTTCCTGTAGGGATGGCGTTGTTTTGATGGGATTTTCTTGCTAGCCTCACGTCCAACCTTCCCTCTTTCTCCGGGTTAACTACCGTCTAGGCGAGATTTAAGAGTGTGTGGGCCGGGAATCGAATACGGACCTCCCGAGTCTTCGACGAGCTTACTATCATTGAGTCACCGACACACAAATTTTTCTCTTAGGCATCTTTAATTCTCATTCGCATAAAATAATTCCCTGAAATACCTTATATTCTTTATCACTAAATATGTTTCTTTTCATCCAATCAGTTGTTCTGTAAAAGAAAAGTGTTGATATTAGATGGTTAGAGGCAATCAGCAGGAAGCCTTGCTCCACCTAGGTTTCGTGCTAGTTGGCACTCACCAGTCAGCAAGGCGTATCTGCAACCACCTTGAAGGAACTCATGTCCCTTCTGGGATTCGAACCCGCATCACCCAGTGCTGCAGTCAGAGACGTTACCACTGAGCTATTCGGGCTCGCAACTGACCTCCTGTAGGACTGTATTGAATACTTTTGATTGGACGCCTCAGTGGTGACGTCTCTGACTGCATCTCTGGGTGATGCGGGTTCGAATCTCAGAAGGGACATGAGTTCCTTCAAAGTTGCAGAAACGCCTTGCTGAGTGGTGAGTGCCAACTAGCGTGAAACGTAGTTTCAAGGCTCCCTGTGGTCGATTGCCTCCAGCCATCTAATATCAACTATTCAAAGTGCACCGTGATGGCGAGCCACCTAGAATGGTGGCCACATTGCCAACGTGACTGACAGAATTCAGTCTGCACTAAACAAAGGACTAGACACATTACACTAGTTACTAACTAGTGTGCAATCAAAAGAAAAGTATATTTCACTATCACTCATTACATACGCGATTTTATATAAATACTAATTTAGTATGGAGTTGTTCATTAACTAAATTTGTTGTGTTGTAGATGATTATTAACTCTTGGTAATGATTTTAGCAACTGTTTAATCTACTCACGTGTTTTCATTTTAGTACAAGGCGTTATTGCCAACTCTAGAAGTCGGAGAACTATTTTATCCTCTTCATGAATAGTATCGCAGTACATGTTGCTTGTAGACTTAAAAACCGGCATTATGCGTTGTATGAACCAGAGGATATGACAAAATAAAGATGACATAACATATGAAGTTGGCGGTCAGTTTAAAATCAGTTAGAGACTGGGTTGTTCACATTTCATTGACTAGTTATTCAGTTAATATTTATCACAAAAGTACCGTAAAATTTAGTGAAGTCACTAGCGAAATGGGTCAAATGCTTATTCAATGTTTAGCTCACTCTGACTGAAACAGTACAATTAGAAATTCAACTTAAGCTGCGCATGTTTGGTTCGATTGTTCTTGTGTGTGTGTGTGTGTGTGAATTTCACTCTCAGAATGACTTACCACAGTGCTGATTAACCATACAAAATAAGGTCATCTGCGTTCACCTTCTAAATAAGCAAGTTTATGAATAAAACTGAATATGCATTCGATTAGTAACTAAACATTTAATTAAATAAGTGTTGGTTTGCAAGGATTTGATTGGTGACAAGATTTTATGGTCTGACATCAGTTAGAGAACCATTGGAAAACCACCATGGAGTACTGGACAGCTGTTTCGTCCCATTTTGGGGCTCTTCATTAGTACACATCTGCCGCCGGGGTTCGAAGCCAGGACCCTCCGGTTACAAGGCGAGTTAGCTCGTAGACCATTAAGCCACTGGAACCCGATCCAATGGCCAGCCCATGAATTCCAACTTCTGTCAATTCACTATATAGCGCAACCACCAGCCAATGTCGTCGGCGAGTATTTGTCTTCACACTCGACCTGCTGTAACCCACCGGTCACGACTTCTCACCAGTTCCAGTGGCTTAATGGTCTGCGAGCTCGCCTTGAAACCGGGAGGTCCTGGCTTCGAACCTTGGCGGTGGGCGCGTGATGCCGAAGAATCCCAAACTAGAACGAAACAGCTGTCCAGTATTCCGTGGTAGTTTTCCAACTGTTCTCTAACCGATATCATCTCATGATGAAATCCTGTAATTAAATAAATGATAAAAGTTTCGGTACGTATTTTAGGCGAAGTTAAGCTGTCGCAGTCACCCCGGTACATGACCTAGGACAAACAAATGCACTTACTGGTGGATTTGCTTAACGGATTGCAGGTTAACTCAGTGTTTGATTACTGTAAGAATAATGGATTAATTAGAATTACTAAACTATATGCATGCGATGGAAGTTTGACAAGATAACCAGTATTTTTGGAGGAATGATATTTCAGGGTAGATTAAAGTCGATGGATCATGGAACAACATGAACTACAGTGACTTTTTTCTCTTATTAGTTACACAAGGTTAGCGGTTAGGTCGACCGGCGTAGCTGCTATAGTTTAACCTTGCCACCTTTTAAAAGCTTGATGCTGAGTAGTATGTGAGAACAGTAATACTGAATCAGTCTCTTATATTTGAATAATTGATTCATTTAGTAGCTAACTGAAATAACATGATAAAATAATGATTGATATTAATGGTATTTAGGTCCATTAACATAAGGAAAGTCAGAATTTATCGCCATAATTTAGCCAGAAATCGGGTGGTTTGATCTGATTCGGCTCTCTGAGCTGAATCGAACTGGGTAAGCGGCTGGTGAGCCCGGCCCCGAACGAACGAAACGACTGTCCAATGTTTAGATCACCTCGATCTGTCTGGTAAGCTCTACTGGTCTACATGAGTGGTATGCAACTACTCATCTCAGTCAATCAGTAGTATAAAGTTTTATGCAAAAAATATTATTACAGTATTCTTCACTAGTGACTTTTCTAGAACAATTCATTGCTCCAAATCTTATCAAGGTTCTTACATAATTTTCAGACTTTGTCTATCTGGATTTCAGACATATGGAAAATATAATTACCAATAAAATCAAAGGGTAAGAAGTAGTTGAGCTGTATAAATAAAGTTGGAAAGTCATGCGAACTCCTTAGTATGATTATCAGCAACAAATTGCTCTAGAAACATCATTAATAAAGAATGCTATATTACTGTGTTCTTTGTCAAATAATATTCTTCAATTATGGAATTATACTGAATAATAGTACTGAAGTTGCAATGCGGACTTTGTTGTTGAACTATCTAGATAACGAAAAATTGCCTTTTCTGTGGACAAATACTGCCTATTGCCTACACTTTTCACCCTCACCAGTTAGCCATGAACAAGCTTTCATGTCAATCATTGAAGTGTATTACTTTTTAAAAACAAATCAATCCTCTTCATTGTTTTAGACTAACAGACTTTTCATTTTTATTTATTCCTATCTCTAGATGGACTCTTTACTTGATTTGATTCAGTCACTTGAGTAAGTTGAAACACTTCATTCACCTTTTTTACTTTTGTCTTTCGTCTCGTTTTTGCCTCCGATATGTTAAGTTATTATTGACTGATATTGTAAAATAGCTCCAACCAACTCATATCTCCACCAAAAGCAGCCTCCTGTAACAATAACGCTTCGATCAGACTATTCACTTAGTAATTTCATATTTGGCGCATTAAAATTTCAATGGCTTTTTTGTGAATTAACATAGCAATAGAAGTTGTATTCTGGTATGTCTAAAATTTTTTTGAATAGATAACAGCTAGTAAATTGCCTTCCTTACTAAACACCCTGGTGTAGTTGCAGACCACGGAGGTATTTAACTAACCGAATTTTTTATTTATCAAAATGATGTTCAGTTATGGCGAAATACGAGAGCCATACACTGAAATTTCTCTCTTCAAATGTTCTTCGGATTGGGCTTCCATCTATTATTATTGCACAAGGATCTTTCATTTCTCCTCTTCGCCAATTAGTTCGTCGCTCTGCTATTCAATATTCTTTCAGAAAACTGCACTCACAATATTATTATTATTCCCTTGGGTTCCGAGTGGAACACAGGGCTTCAACAACACTTTCTTCTTTTTTCTGACATCTGTCGCTTCCCATTTGGATTCCACTCGACGGCCTGGCGCGTGATGTCATTCGACGGTTTCCTCAATGTATGCTCGATCGATCTCCATTTTCTCCTACATATTTGTTGAGCGATCGGCTCTTGTCAGTCGCACACACACCAAACTAGTACCACCTACTTAATCACCTGTATATTACTTAACCTACAAGTACACATGACAAAACACGAATTAGAGTTTTATTTATGTAGAAATACGCTTTGATGAGCAGTATATATGTATCATTCTGAGTGGAACATACGGCTTCAAGCTTCAGCGTTGAAGCTTCAATAGAGGTGGTATCATTTGTATGGGATCGAGATGCTTGCCTGACACCTAACCTTCCCTTTTTTAACAGATTCACTACGGCTAAGTGAGGTGTAGATCTAGTGGATCGGCTTGTATTCGAACCTGGACTACATAGTTGGTTGGTGAGCATTCTAGCACTTGACCACCGACTCACCAATATATTTAATTAGAATAAGTGTTGTTAAGATTGTCTTGGGGAAAGATTTTAGCAACTTATCTGGTTAGTGTGGCTGAGATAATTAGAATCACGTATTTTTTTGTATCCCTTCACGTTCCCAGTGGAACATAGGGATTCGAGCTACAGGCTTGAAGTTTCTGTAGCAGTGGTGTTTATTTTTACAGGATGGGGTTGCTAGCCACATGCCCAACGTTTCCTCTTTACCAGCTTTATTTCTGGCTTAGCGAGGTAAAGGAGTGCGTCTGTGGCCGGGGATCGAACCCTGGACCATGTGCATGGTCGGCGAGCGTTCTAACCGCTGTGCCACCGACGCGTAGAATCACGTATTTACGGACGTATTACTTATGAGTGAAGATTACTCTATGACTCAGTCTGTACCTTATAAGTTGTGTAATATTGCAGACATTTAGTTATGCAATATGGAGCTTAACGTAAACTGATATATTTGTCTGATAGACATGTAACCATTAGAATTATTTTTCTGTCTCTTACTTCCTCATATCTTGAATGAAATCTACCCACCAGTAATACACTATAGTTGCTTGTAAGTATGGTTATTTGGATAACTGTTATAAAAGTGTGATTCATTAATCCAGTCATACAACCAGATATGACCATGGTTATATGATATGATATTTGAACAAGATCATATTGCTTTTTAACCTGCAATATAAAGTGACAATCAAAGTAATAATCTTGAATTGATTCAAAAGTTAACAGTGTGACTAGTCTGGGATAGCTTCCGGTTGACAGACCACCATTAATAATAATAATAGGTGATAATTGAATGGTAAAAATGGAAATCTAGGTCCTAGTGGGATTTGAACCGGTGTTCTGCGAATTCCTAACCTGGCTGTCTACCCGCCAAGCTAGTAAGTTGTCTTTCGAAAATTTGATTTCTACAAATTGATGGCTAGATAAAAATCACTGTTGATATCTAGTTCTAAATGTGTGCGGTTGAAATCTATTGATCAAGTATGCAATGCGGTCGCTGTTTTTTGATTATACCTTGATTCCGCACAGTATTTTGGTACAATTATAGAATTTTCAGCATGTGATAACGGTAGCCCAAATTTAGCAGGCCGACCATTGATGTCAGGTGTGCGCCGGCCGAGGATCGACCCCCAGACCATATGCATGCTCGGCGAGCGTCCTAACCGCTGTGCCACCGATGCAAACAGCATGGGGTGCACTGCAAATTAGATGAGGCTATCCTCAAAATCACATAACAGTACTTCGATTTGATTCTGGAAACACTCGATTGTTTTACACCTCCATGATAGCAAACGTACAGTCACCTGTAAATGAACAGTTTTTATTGCAGTAACGTGTTCAGTCAACTATTCTAACCTGCTGTCATTGTAATCTGAAAGTATTGGGATCAATCCATGGTGGATTGCGGGTACGTACTACTGAAGAGCTTCACACTAGGACGAAAGAGCTGTTCAGTACTCCCGAGTTTTTAATAGTTCCCTACCTTAAAACTAATCAAATTGCTATAAACCAACTCTTGAACATTTTTTACAAGACATTGATGTATCTTAATATGCATTTTAGTTAGTAATTGCTTTTATAGTTTCATTTCTGTCTTGATTCAAGTAAGTATATTTTCCAACTTTTGTTTTCATAGGTCAGGATTAACAGATATCAAAATTACTTCACAAAAAGAATCTATTGAAGCGCTTATTACTGGGATGAAAAATATCCCACTTTCAAATATAACATGTAAAGAGAGTAAGTCTATAACAACATTTATAAAAATATAGTGCCACAGTTGTCAAATGACCTTAAAATAACCAATCAGATTTTAGATTGGTCACAATAGCAAACTAGCTAGTACTACTACTTATTCTTGAAGTAGACGATCATTCTTAAGACTGTAAAATGCAGCCCAAAGAATGCATAGAATGTCTACGAGTGGTTTTCAGCGTCAGGTTAAGGATATAAAAGGTGATGATAGCTCATGGAAATTACTTTGAGGGAATACGTTTAACAGGAAATCTATAATTTGTTGTTGAGGTTGTCATTCTTCAAAGATAACATTTTATCCTTCTTAAACTGGTAAACTTTTGTTGTTTATTTTGCATCAGTTCCTTTGAGATTTTAGATACACCTTGCTGACGACTGACAACATGCATCAAAAATAAGTCCAGGGCTTCCTACCGATTGTCTTCAGCTACCTAGCGTAAAATTAATTCTTTAGATAGAGGTGTATAACCTTACACAATCATGCATTGGTTTGTATCTCGTCCTCTTTAAAACAAAAAGGAGGGTGGAGTCGTCGAAAAGAACTAGAATATTGGGATGTTCATTTGACACAATGTAACAACCACATATAGACGCTAATGTTCTATAAGCAATAAATAAACCATATTTGTTGTGTGATTACTCAAACTTGGGTAGGTGGAACAGAGTTTAAATTCACAATTCACTGATTTCACGCCTAAAATTCAGATATCTGACGCATCAATTATTAGCTGGTGTGTAATTAATGTCACCAAAAAGTTTTTCATTTTACATAATGCTGGATAGTCTAAATTCTGCGTTTGACTAACTGACTGAGTTTCAACAATAGAACTTAACACAAAAGTGCAGTAGTTCAATTTGCTGCATTCCACATAGCAGGAAAAAGGTTTAGACAAAAGAGAGAGACTTTTAAAGGAAGCATAATAAGCGGAAATGTATGAAGGAAAGAACAGTAACATGGAAAAACATAAGGGTTCAATGGTCGTGGAAGATCTCAAAGAGTGAATGCATCTGTGCAGTTGAGAACGATTTTGAACCATATCACTAATAGTCCCCAGCCATTGGCTCTTAACATGTCGAAGACTCCAACCAGATAGTCTACTCATCCCTGTGTGTCTGGCTCAAACCGCCAGTCAGAAACTTCATGGACTGATGCCAGGTTTTGATCTCATAACTCTTCCAACCTAATCCTATGTTGGCCAACATTGCACGTCGAGGAAGGCGATGCGTCGGCATGCGCAACATGTGTTTTAGGCATCTGAATTGATGTAGCTTTACAACCCTATCAATTGACTTACCCATTTCACTTAACAGTCTACGTCTAACCTCAATATTACTCACCATATTAGAACACTTAACAAGTGTGGCCAACGACAGCTAGCCTTATCATATCTTCGTCTTTCAATGGCTATGTCTCACAACCGTAAAGAAGGACAGAGCGAACTGCTGCGCAGTACACACGCCCTTTGGTCGATAGCCGGATATCACGTCTACGCCAGAGACAGTGTAAGTTTTTAGTACAGCTTTAGTGTACTATCGAAAACTAAAGGAATGTGCATATTTGAGATCAGTCCCATACTGCTTCTGAACATTTTTTGCGGAAGAGTATCATGTAGCGTGTGTTTTTCTATGTGACATTTCCTCCAAAACATCGTAGGTGCACACTGATGATGAGACAGTTGTGCAGTGCTCCAGTGATTGCCTAAATGCTATTGGCTCTGAACAAAACTAACCTTAAAATTATTCAAGTTCTAACAACATAATGCTTGAGAACTATCACACAATTCGGTAAATGTTTATGACATTTCGCTTTGATGAATTGTGGTCCTACAGATGAATTATTATGATTGATTCTGTTCGTTTTATCCTGTCTGGCGTTGATTCTATTCGGTCGCTTTATGCATTGAAGCCTTTTTCACTTCCCAATATTCCGTCATTTATACTCAAAATTTGTATCTTACAGTGATGATTTCCTCACTTCTGTATATATTGAGATTTATGCGGTATAATGATCGAAGTTTCACTACTCAATTTTATAGAGCACTCTCACGAAAAGCTGATACAATTTCGCTTCAATGTTGTTCAACCTCATGTGCAAATAGTTTGTAAATGTATGAGCTTTTCTTTATTGGTACATAAATCATTGTGTGCTAGAGTGTGACAGATACTTTGTTATGTTTTTGTCGAGCTTACTTTCAGAGAAGTTCCTTGTATCTGTAATGTAAAATAAACTTATTACGCCAACAGATTATGACGTGAATAATACCCTGCAAAGTAATTTCACTGCTGTGAATTATAAAAGATAATTGGGAATTTTTCAGCAGTTACTTTTTCTCTATAAGCTATTCTGTCAGTGTATTCAATTTGCTTTCATTTTTAGCATTTTGCCATATACTACTCACATCAACCAGTAAGGCTTGCTAGATGTATTGATCTAGGTGATCTGAACATCACAGTCCTCTTCAATGGTGAATTCTCTCACCTCGAAGTGCGTAATTTGCAAATGACGAATTTGATTTTATTCACCCGAGTAGTTAGTTAGCCAGAATTTGGGTGGTCGGGACTGATTCGCCTCTCTAAGCTGAATCAAACCGTGTACACTGCTGTTGAACTTGGCCCCAAATCAGCATAACGACCGTTTGGCTTTTAGATCACTTCGACCACCTAGCTAGCAAACACTACTAATTGATGTATGTGGTTTCCACTTACCTATATCAATCAGCAGTATACGCCGTCACACCATTGAGCTTGCTTCCTTAATCATCATTTGTACCATCAAGGAGATCATATATTGTGATCCGCATGTGTCTGGGTTTCCAATTTTGTCAATTTTCACCCCAAACTGTGTAACTTCGCAAATGACAAATTCGATTTTTTTGTATTTCTTCTTTTTTTTTGTCTCACACAGTTGATCATCTTGTAGACTTTTTATCGGATCGTTTAGCTCTTTCTGATCCAAATATTACAAATTTGATACTTGATGGATTTATATGGTTGACAAAATCTGTTTGGTCTTCTAATGGCTGCAGTCTAATTAACTCGGAACAGGCTGAACGAATTGTTCAAAATGGTATATTTGGTCATTTATCTGTTCAGAGTTTAACAAAATCTGGAAGATTAAAAGTGTTTCAATTGTTGCACTGTTTTTTAACAGGATCACAGTTGACTGGTAGGTCCTGCGTTGTTTTCTTTCAATGTTTTACGTTAGTTTTCAAGTATTGGTTTTTTGTAGGGATTTTGTTTGTTTGATTGGTTGGAGGATTTCATCATGAGCTGATATCAGTTAGAGAACCACTGAAAACTAATACTTCAAAATTGATCTGTTGCTCGCTAGCGACTGGCCCTATTCATCACTTGTCTGGAGTGGGAAGCCGTGACCAGTAGGGTGCAGCAGATTGAAGGTGAGGCAGTAACTCATAGAAGAAGACATTGCGAAGTGGTCGCGCTGTGTTATGAATTTGCAGAAGTTAGAATTCACGGACTGGCCATTGGACCGGGTCCCAGTGGCTGCTTAATGGTCTACAAGCTAGCTCGCCTTGTAACCAGAAAGTCCTGCGTTCAAACCCCAGTGGGGTGGGTGCGTACTGATGAAAAGTCTCAAACTAGGACGAAACGGCTAGCTGTTCAGTACTCCCTGTTGGTTTTCCAATGGTTCTCTAACTGATGTCAGCTCATGATGAAATCCTCCAACCAGTTTAACTTAGTTGTTTATGCTGATATTTAGGGTTGAGTTAGAAAGTTTGGGGTGTTTTTGTTTTATGAAGTTGTTTGTAGAACCTACGATACACTTATTTCTACTCTACACAAAGATCATTCGACGTTTATGATTTTATATTGTAAGATTCATTTGGTAAAGCTTCTTAGAGGAGGATTTCTACCAGCCAACAGTATTGTGTGAATTAGTGCAGTGATCAGCTTTAGGGCCAGACAGTTATATTGGTTACTATCAGTGGAGACGTGGCTTTTTGGCTTAAGTACTGGACTTTCAGCCAGTGGATCTCGGGTACTGTACCTATTTCACTCCAGTCAACTGGCTAATATCATCAGCCCATACACAATATAAGTGTGGCTCAGACTGGAACATGAAGGACCTAATTTCAAATAACAATCATTAGGCAAGCAATTTGGATACATTTATGAGTATAAATTGGGATAACAGTGACTACTAATTGTAACTTATTCATCGTCTAACACTAGGCTATACATCTTGTACAGAGTATCGTTTACAACTTGCTTTGTGACCGCTTATTATTATTATTATTATTATTATTATTGTTCCCTTGGGTTCCTAGTGGAACATAGGGCTTCAACTGCACGCCTCCACTTGCTTCTGTCTTCTGCTGTACTTTTCACCTGTATCCATGTTAATCCATACTGTTTCATTTCCTGTTCACACGATCTCCTCCATGTCACCCTTGGACGTCCCACTCGCCGCTTCCCTTTCGGGTTCCACTCGAGCACTGGCCTGACGCGCGATTTCACCCAGCGACCTCCTCAGCGAGTGTCCAATCCATCTCCACTTTCTCCTGCATGTTTGTTGGGTGATTGGTTCTTGTTTTGTTTGTTCCCATAGTTTCTTGTTGGTGATTCTTTCCGGCCATCTGATCTTCAGTATAGAAAGAAGACAGTTGTTGATAAAGGTCTGCAACAGGCTGTTGGAAATATTCTTGGTGACCCGCCAAGTTTCTGATCCATCCGTATAGCAAAACTGACTTGACGCTTGTATTGAAAATCCGAATTTTGTTGTTGATGTTGAGTGACGAAGATTTCCAGATTGGTTTCAGGTTGATGAATGTGTTTCTCGCCTTCCCGATTCTCGATTTGACATTCTCGTCCGTTCCTCGTGTAGTTGAGACAATGCTCCCTAGATAAGTGAGTGAAAGAAGTAACCTCTTTCAAATCCCTTGTGACCGCTTACCCAATAATAAATGAAAATAGATTCCTAGCTGAAGTCAGTAAAATTGAGTTGGAGTACACGTTGATAAAGTGAGATAATGAGGCTTATCGCATCTGATGGATCTGATTTACTGTGTTAATACTAAATTTAAGTTTCATACAAAAGTATTTCTCTGGAAAAACTAGTTTGTTTACGTCCCCAAAGTGTTTATAAAAAATGTGATGAATAATCAAATTGTAACTAGGGTGGTGACGATTGGTAAGTATTGACAAGGGTTGCGTAATATGAAAGACAACCAGAAAAAATAGGATGTTAATGAAAGAGCATGGAGACACGTGTCCCAAATAAGTTGTGTAATAGATAGAAAAAGTAAATAAAGTGTTGGTTAAGAAAAGGGTATCTACCAATTTACTTGCTCATGTGTAGCGAGATATATAAGTCGTTCGATGCGTGTTTTATCTAAAAGAGTCAAAGAACGTTATCACGCGTGGCTACGAAAAGGTAACAGTGGATCAATAAGGAGTACTATAATTGAACATACATTCAACACTGGTCACTCAATACGTAAGGAGAATTCATTCAAAGTCATCTACAAAGTCAAAAGAAGCCTCCCGAAAACAGTAAGCTTCTGCATACTTTGTATTGCTGAGGCCTTAGCGATCCGGATAGAAAGCCCTGATATATGTATACAGAAGAAACTTCTCCACCGCCCCCTTCTACCTTCTACTACTTTGTTAATAATGCTTGTTTTTTCCGAATTTTGTGAATGTTTTTATGACTCCTTAGTAACATCTTTTTCTTAGCCAACCCTTTATTTATTCTCTCTACCTATTACGTAATTTATTTTGGATACGCGTCTCCATGCGCTTTCATTAACATCCTATTTTTCTGGGTGTCTTTCATATTACGCAACCCTTGTCAATACTTACCAATCTTCACCACCCCAGTTACAATTTGATTATTCATCACATTTTTCGTAAACACTTTGATGACGTAAACAATAACCCCAGCTAGATTTTTGTTTTTTTTGTCTGGCAATCCTAATGTATACACACACAAAATTAGTTTGGACGAAACACTAGTTTCCCTTCCAGCTATACTCACTACAGGATAAAGCTTTATAATTATTTTACGTCGGAAAGCATTTTTGGAAAGGCCATCAAATAATAATATTATCTCACTGTAGTTTGAAATGCTTGGGCAGTACACTGACAGACTTGACTTCTATGCATATCGAACTAAGACTTACTGTTGTAGCATAAACACTTAACAATAAACAAACGTTGTTTCTGAATCACAGAGAAATAAATGTCTGCTGCTACCTGGTTCTTGCTTTCCGCCTTATAACTTGTTTTGATAACTACAATGATTTTAATGAATTTACCAACTTCATCTATCTATAAATAGCATTGACTTGAACTATATTTTGTCAACTCAAATACGATTTCTAACCACTAGTTGATGCTACTGAATCATATTCCACTAAACGAGATTTAGAAAACGTAATGGGATATATGCGTATACGACTGACAACCTAATACGTGAACATAGAAGTCACTCCTGCCCGGTAGCAGACTATAAGCCACATCGGTTGTGAGAGGGCTGATGATAATACCCAGTTGCTCAAGTTGTCTGTCTGTCTGTCTGGATTCAACATAGAACTTGGCACCGAAGTGCAGCAGTTCGAGTTGCCACGTTCCAAATAGCACACAAAGGTAGACAAGAAAATGAATGAAGAGAATCAATAGAGTTTTGACAAGTATAAGAGTGAAACAGAATGAGTAATGGTAGAAAGGAATATGAAAGATTACAAAGAGACTGAATACATCTGCGTAAGCCATTGACAACGATTTTGAGCCATGTCACCTATTGTCTCCAGCCATTGATTGATTCTTAGAGTCCCGAGGGCGGGCCCCAACCCGGAAGTCTGCATCTCCCTACCTGACTCAGTTTAACTGTCAAGGATTTCATGGATTGATGAGGCCATGTTTTTGTTTGGCCACCACTTACTCTTTTCCAACCTGCACCTATATCAGCTAGTAATGCCCGTCCGTCGGGGGAGGCGATGGTTAGGCATGCGCAGCACGTGACCTAGCCATCTCAATCTATGTAACTTTATAGCCTCTTCGATTGATTTTCCCTCTTTGCCCAACACTCTACGCCTAACGTCAACATTACTTACCTTATTATACCACCTAACGTGAGAAAGAGATCGTAAACATCTGTGGTCAAAAACAGTCAACCTTTTCATGTCTTCAACTCGTATTGGCCATGTTTCAGAGCCATAGAGAAGGACGGAGCGAACTGCTGAGCAGTACACACGTCCCTTGGTTGATAGCCGGATGTCACGCCTACGCCAGAGATGGTGTAAGTTAGCGAAAGCAGCTCGAGCTTTTTGGATCCGTACTGAGATTTCGTCGCCAATCAATCCGTTGGTGCTGATACAACTTCCCAAATAGGTGAAGTGGTCAACATGTTCTATCACTTCACTCCCTATCACTAAGCTAGGAGTTGACGTAGTCCAGTCCTGTAGCAGCATCTTACATTTTTACAGGGGCGAATCGCTCAAGTTGAAGTAAGTGGAGCAAGATTCAAGCCGGCGAACCATTACTGGAAAGTGGAGTGAACTTAAGGTTGATTGTTCAATTGAAAGTTCTGTGAGAATAAATGCCAACACCTATTAAATATTCTAAAGTACTCAACATTATGTCTATGAATAATTTAATAATTTTACTTTCACTATTTTACTCTTTAAAGGTATTCAGTCAATGAAATCCACTTTTATCAAAAATTATCTTGTTGCTATTGATGGAGAAAAAGATCCACAAATTTTACAATTAATTTTTCAAATGAATGCAATAATTATCAAAGCTTTGCCTTCAGGTAATTTAATAGAATATTTCTTTTTAAAAAGTGTACTATATTTAATCTGACTGTCAGTACAATTCAGTACTGAGTTAACATAACACTACCCACTAAAGATCTAGGCGTATTCGATGGCCTTGTGTAGACGGATAGCCTCTTTTTATTTGTATGTAACCATGTCTTATATATCGTCGTTTTTTTCCAATCGATTGTGTTGTGAGTTATTTTACATTCCATGTCATTGTTACCTACTTGTCTGCTGCTTTTCAATACTTCAAACTGTAGAACATCTCTGTTTCATCCTGTTCTCTCTCTTTAACTGGCTCCATAAGTTTTCATTTCTTTCCCACATGATCTCCTCCATGTCACCCTCGGATCCACGCCCACAACTCGTCGATTCCCATTCGGGTTCCACCTGACAGTCTGGCGCGTGATGTCAGTCAGAGGTCTCCTCGGTGTATGTTGAATCAGTCTCCATTTCCTCATACATATTTGTTGGTCAGTAGGTTCTTGGTTGGTTTGTTACCAGAGTTCCTCGTTACTTTTCATTTCTGGTCATCTGACCTGCAGTATCGAGCCAGCGAAGGCAGTTGTTAATGTTTGACGCTGCAGTAGCCTGTTAGAAGTACTTATCGTGACGCGCGTGCCAAGCCTCTTACCTAACTGCATAACTGTTACTAATTTATGTTACCGTCTTAACAACAAATCTGTCTGTTAATTTTTCGAGAAACTCCTCACCAATAGGACATATATGGATATATTATATACATTGTGATGCTTCAGATATCCTATCATCCGGTTGTTTTGTTTCAGTATGACGCTCTTACAGTATGCCTGCTGATAGACAAAAGTATGTTGAAACTGTACGCCGACTTTTATTTATTAAAGATTATAGGTTGTACGCAGCTGATGAGAACCAATGAAGTAAAATGGATCTATGTTATCCTGCATCAATGTTTGTTCTTTCTCTGCTTAAATGTATAAAAGGAAATTTTTGTATGAGATAAGATATGTTAACTTCTTACTGATTTGTTGATTTTTATCCATGTATTAAATATATTTATTTTTCTTATTCTTTATTCACTTTTTCGTAATTGTCAGTGGCAGAATTCATAGATGAACTCTTTGAAACAACATCAGTCTACTTCCCAATAGATTTTTCACCAGTAAGTTTTAATTTTTTTATGTTCAATTGTTTATTTTGAGTTATTTTTAGATTTAATTGAATTTTAGATTTTCCCGTCGATTGATTGAACCGTTTGAAACTATGGGCACTGGGTACGAGCCTCGGTGGGAACATCATCACTCACTGACTGGGAAATGCAGGTACATCCAGCTGACGAGTCCCAAATAGGACGAAATGCGCATCCTGGATTCCACTGCTAGTCACCATCCACGTATTTTTAGATTGTTCTAGAGAAAGATTATTTTTACGCCTGTAAATAATTGTACATCTTAGGAAGGGAATTCGACATTTTACAGGTTTGACACCAAATAGAGAACCACTGGAGAACCTGAAAGAACCTGGACAGATGTTTCGTCCCAATTTGAGACTCTTCCAATGGTTCTTTAATTGATATCTACTCGTTATAAACCAGTGACCAATCAAATCTCTGCAAACCAATACTTGATAATTAGACAACTGACAAGTTGATGTTATTTATCACACACTTCTACTAAGAAATTCAAACACTACTATACAAAGTTATCAATTTAAAGACTGCTTTTTTATTAAAGTTAAGGAGATAGAATGACGATTATCTGTAAAACACTACTGATTGAAGATTTGAATTCTATACGAAAATATCCAGTTACAATGCTTCTCCTATTTATTATTTTTGTTTGACAAGAAAAGCCCTTTTTATCGTAAACAAAATTATGTCTGAATAATTACCATTTTTAAATTAAATCTCCTCTAATCTACATAACTTCACGTATAAATATTATCTCTAAACCAGTTATGGTAATTAGCCAAAATTGTAATAATAATAATAATAAAATAATAATAATGGCGAAAACACCAAATATTCAAATAAAAGTTAATCAAAACGTTTAAAAAAATTTTAATAAAGATATGAAAGTGTTGATAAGAGAAATTGTAAGAAGGGGATAAAATTGAATGAAAGAGAATGTGATTGGTAAGGGTCTGCGAGCTTGACTTGTAACCGGAATGTCCTGGGCTCGAACCCCGGTGGGTGCACACTGTTGGAGACTCCGAAACTAGGACGAGATAGCTGTTCAGTATTCCATGGTCGTCCAATGGTTCTCTAAATGATGTCAATTCGTGACCAAACTTAAAACAAATCACACTCCTACAAACTATCTCTTTGTACGTCAGTGGCACAGTGGTAGAATGATCGCCAACCATGCCTCACGTGGTCCGAGGTTCGATCCCCGGCCGACGCGCTCATTAACCTCGCTAAGCCAGTAATAAGACTGGTAAAGAGGGAAAGTTGGGCATGAGACTCGTAAAAATAAACACCTCTGCTACTGAATCTTCAAAGCTCTAACTTGAAGCCCTATGTTCCACTGAGAATGTAAAGGAATAAAATAAATAAATGATTAGTAAGGTATTCTCTAGGCAAGGGAGCGATCATTTGTGCACACATTTTAGCTGAAAACACAGTCTAGGCTTGGTCGTCGAGTAGATAGGTAGATAGCCCCAGGTATGTGTAGTAAACGAATATGAAAGACTAGACAGGATACAATAAATCACATTAAGTGCTTCTGTTTTGTGTACTCAATGACCATTACTAACTACATGATGCAAAATGGAGTTTCTTTATCCAGCTGTGATGGTAGATGTTCTGTGACACGATGTATAATCTACGTAGTTTTATGCTCATTATAACTGTCCCCACAGGAGCAGTTGAAATGCTGAATGGATACAGATACAATCGAAATCAGTCTTTTTAAGCCATTACCATATGTGTACTGAAAAACGACAAACAAAGGTTTGCTACATAAAATGTTAAGTCATTAAGTCCTCGTCAGTGACCTGTTTCATTCGGTCAACTGTAATGCTGAGCGATGCGGGCTTCAATCTCTCTCTCTCTTTATATATATATATATATATATGCGTTTAGTATTAGGAATGCTGAAAGTACCCCCAATTTGAGGTTGGTAAGGATTTTGAACGACCTAATGTTTTCTATTTATTTCCTACACTATGAGTTGTATTTCTTATCATTGTGAGAAATATAGTCTTGATTTTTTCAGTGATTCATTAATTTGGAACCGATGTGCCTTTACTGAGTTCTACGTCTTTGAGTTCTTTCGTCTATTCATGGTGTAAAATGGAAGCTTCATGCGGTTGTTTCCTATTCTCTTCATGATATCAGTTTTTATCTTCTATAAAAGTCAAACTGTTAGTGTTATCTCATTTCTTCGCATTGTTATTAGCCTCCTGGTGGTGGTATTTCTGGTATCACTCGTGATGTACTCGTTGCTAGCCTACACAAGTGTCTTTTTGCCATGCGAAATACGACTGGTCATCTATTGATGCCACTAATCTGTGAGAAACTCGAATCAGATTGGACAGATGGTCAGTTGGATGCTTTAAGCTTACTAACTGACTGCTTACATGGACAACTGATGCACAGTAACGGGAATGATGGTGATCAAGTTCTATCCGATGGGAATCCAATCGAAATGCGACATATTTCTCCCTATCTTGGTGTGATTTTTCCTGCATTGATTAAAATTGTAAGTAGTAGTTGTGTAATAATTTATACTTTCAAAATTTATGTAAGTTTTTGAATAGTTATTTACAAATAAAGTTGCTCTGATCAAGCTATAAACATGTATGTCTCGGACCTAGTGTGAGGAAACCTAAATGCTTATGCGTCAGAAGTTGTTTATATTGATAACCGCAATGCTGTGACTCAAATGTAGGTCTACGCGTTCAACTTACAACCGGTGGAATCCAAGTTTTGAATCCTGAATCAATCTAATAAGGTTTGTGCAGCCAGATAGCAGCATCAGTCCTTTTTACTGTAAGTCTGGCTCATTACTGCGTCTAGCACCATGTATGTGGTTATTGTTCTGCAACCTACTGTTTAGACGTAAGTTTACATCTGAACGATACTATACTCTGTTGGTGAAATCGGAATCGTGTATGAACACTGATGAAAAATCACAAACCAAGATCAAACATCTGTGTGATGGCAGTTCATTTTCAACTGTTTTCAAAATAGCCACAGTTTTTTTTAAGTGAAAGTTTAATATCAAGGATTATGGAGCCAGTGAAATACACGGACAAAGGAACATATGAATTATCCAGTGTCTTTGAATCTACAATTTACTTCTGTCTTTAGTTATATCAGGGCAGTTTCTTTATAATGAGACATATTTCTAACTGACTGTGGATAAAGGATATAATAGTCATCATATCGTTATCTGGTTTATTTATCATATTTCATTTTTATGTTATCCGAAATCTGCAACTGAATCATATATTATTTATATTTATTGCATTAACTACTTAAATGCCTTTTAAGTAGCTCACCATGACTAGTCAAAATTTCCCCCCTAGTTTCATAAATATTGAAAAAATTGAAAAAAACTCTACAACACTGTAAAAAAATAAGTGAGTTTGTCGAAGCAAACTGAACATGCCTACTATAACTTTAGGGAAAACAAAAAATTTCAATGAAAATACCTGTTTATAGAATTTTATCCTCTACAATAGCACAGTTTTTAAAATTTTCGTTTTCCATTATGAAACAGATATTTACCTGGAAACAGTAACAGAGATGAGGTTAAGGTGAGATCTTTAGAAAAAAGCAAGTGTATGAAAGGGTTTGAGCGCAAACCTTAGTATGTTTGCCCTTGCTAAATGTTGGATAGTGCTGCAAGACTGGCCTGCACCGACTCCTAGCTTGAAGATAGGGAGTGAATTGTTTGAGCGTGTTGATCAATTCACTCATTGGGAAGTTGCATCAGCTCTAATAGACTGATTGCTGACGAAATTTCTGGGAGAAAACAAAAGGCTTGTGTGAAATTTGTCATTTTATATCATCTCTAGGCGTAGACGTGCTATCAGGCTACCGACTAAAGGAAGTGTATACTGCAAACCACTTCGTCCTGTCCTGATTTATGGTTGTGTGACATGGCCATTGGAAGTGGAAGGTATGAAAAGGTTAACTGTCTTTGACCACAGATGTATGCGCTCTATCTGCTTGTTGGCTGACATACTATGGTGAATAATGCACAGGTTAGGCATCGAATGTTAGGTAAGCAGGGTAAGTCAGTCGATTAGCTTATGAAGTTGCATCTACTGAAATGGATAGAAGATGTGTCATTCAGGCCAAGTTACCATCTCTTTGTCAAGGGATGTTAGCTGACATAGGATTAGGTTGGAAATGATATGTGATGGCCGAATTGAAACATGGCATCAGGGCTTGAAGTCTTTGACTGTTAGTGATATAGCTCAGTGATGCTATCACTCTTTATAATCTGCTGGATCAATTAGTTCCTCATTATTCTACGTGTTGATATTGTTTCTTTCGTACATTTCTGCTTACTATAGTTCTTTTGAGCTGTTTATTTCCCTCTACATTTGTGTTCTATGAGGAGTTTGGCAACTTAAACTTCTCCACTTATGTGCGAAGCTCTACGTTGAATATTCCATCATATGAAAAGAGAAAATTAAACATTTATAGCAGGACATTAAAAAAAGTGACTATGAGATTTGAAAATAAGAGTTGTGTATATGAAGGTATTTTCGGAAATGACAAAGGGGAAAATTCTTTTGACTGGATGAAGATCGTTTTAGACAGCCAGCAGATGAAAAGGAAGTTGAAGCGTGAAGAGAAAGAGCTGATATTTGAAAAGAGCCAACTTATTCCGTAGTAGACACGGGTTAAACAAGCATCTTTTGTATTCATAATTCTAGTTTCTGCATACATATACCAAGGGCCTCTACAATGTAAGAGAACCAGAAGCACATTTTATCGAGTAAATTTTTTTGTTTTTGTAAATAATTCTGAATGATGAATCGGTTCTGTCTGTCTGTCTGGATTCAACATAGAACTTGGCACCGAAGTGCAGCAGTTAGAGTTGCCACGTTCCAAATAGCACACAAAGGTAGACAAGAAGATGAGTGAAGAAAATCAATAAAGTTTTGACAAGTGTAAGAGTGAAACAGAATGAGTAATGGTAGAAAGGAATATGAAGGATTACAGAGACTGAATACATCTGCACCACTGACAAAAATTTTGAGCTATGTCACCTATTGTCTCCAGCCATTGATTCTTAGAGTCCCGAGGGCCTCAACCCGGAAGTCTGCATCTCCCTACCTGACTCAGTTTAACTGTGAAGGATTTCATGGATTGATGAGGCCATGTTTTTGTTTGGCCACCGCTTACTCTTTTCCAACCTGCACCCATATCAGCTAGTAATGCCCATCGGGGAAGGCGATGGTTAGGCATGCGCAGTACGTGACCTAACCATCTCAATCTATGTAACTCTATAGCCTCGTCGATTGATTTTCCCTCTTTGCCGAACACTCTACGCCTAACGTCAACATTACTTACCTTATTATACCACCTAACGTGAGAAAGAGATCGTAGACATCTATGATCAAAAACAGTCAACGTTTTCATGTCTTCAACTCGTATTGGCCATGTTTCAGAGCCATAGAGAAGGACGGAGCGAACTGCTGAGCAGTACACACGTCCCTTGGTCTGATCAACCTATAAAGATGTATGTCTCGGATCTAGAGTGAGGAAACCTAAATGTTCATGCATCAAAAGTTGTTCGTATTGATAAAACGCAATGCTGTGACTCAAATATAGGTCTACGTGCTCAACTTACAACCGGTGGAATCCAGGTTTTGAATCCTGAATCAATCTAATAAGGTTTGTGCAGACAGATAGTAGCATCAGTCCTTTTTACTGTAAGTCTGGCTCATTACTGCATCTAGCACCATGTATGTGGTTATTGTTCTGCAACCTACTGTTTAGACGTAAGTTTACATCTGAACGATACTATACTCTGTTGGTGAAATCGGAATCGTGTATGAACATTGATGAAAAATTACAAACCAAGATCAAACATCTGTGTGATGGCAGTTCCTTTTCTACTGTTTTCAAAATACCCACCATTTTTTTTAAGTGAAAGTTTAATATCAAGGATTATGGAGCCAGTGAAATACATGGACAAAGAAACATATGAATTATCCAGTGTCTTTGAATCTACAATTTACTTCTGTCTTTAGTTATATCAATGCAGTTTCTTTATGATGAGACATATTTCTAATTGACTGTGGATAAAAGATATAATAGTCATCATATCGTTATCTGGTTTATTTATCATATTTCATTTTTATGTTACCCGAAATCTGCAAATGAATCATATATTATTTATATTTATTGCATTAACTACTTAAATGCCTTTTAAGTAGCTCACGATAACTAGTCAAAAGTTTCATAGATATTGAATAAATTGAAAAAACTCTACAACACTGTAAAAAAATAATCGAGTGTGTCAGAGCAAACTGAACATGCCTACCAAAAATTTAGGGAAAACAAAAATTTCAATGAAAATACCTGTTTATAGGATTTTATCCTCTACAATAGCACAGTCTTTAAAATTTTCGTTTTCCGTTATGAAACAGATATCTGCCTGGAAACAGTAACAGAGATGAGGTTAAGGTGAGATCTTTAGAAAAAAGCAAGTGTGATGAAAGGGGCTTTGAGTGTAAACCTTAGTATGTTTGCCCTTGCTAAAGGTTGGATAGTGCTGCAAGACTGGCCTGCACTGACTCCTAGCTTGAAGATAGGGAGTGAATTGTTTGAGCGTGTTGATCAATTCACTCATTGGGAAATTGCATCGGCTCTAATAGACTGAGTGCTGACGAAATCTCTGGATGGATACAAAAGGCTTGTGTGACATTTGTCATTTTATATCGTCTCTAGCGTAGACGTGCTATCGGGCTACCGACTAAAGGACGTGTATACTGCAAACCAGTTCGTCCTGTCCTGATTCATGGTTGTGTGGCATGGCCATTGGAAGTGGAAGGTATGAAAAGGTTAACTGTCTTTGACCACAGATGTATGTGTTCGCTCTGCATGTTGGCTGACATACTATGGTCAATAATGCACAGGTTGGGTAAGCGGGGTAAGTCAGTCGATTAGCTTATGAAGTTGCATCTACTGAAATGGATAGAAGATGTGTCATTCAGGCCAAGTTACCATCTCTTTGTCGAGGGATGTTAGCTGACATAGGATTAGGTTGGAAATGATATGGGATGGTCTAATTGAAACATGGCATCAGGGCTTGAAGTCTTTGACTGTTAGTGATATAGCTCAAAATCATTCTCAATGATGCAAATGCTATCACTCTTTATAATCTCCTGGATCGATTAGTTCCTCATTATTCTACGTGTTGACATTGTTTCTTTCGTACATTTCTGCTTACTATAGTTCTTTTGAGCTGTTTATTTCCCTCTACATTTGTGTTCTATGAGGAGTTTGGCAACTTAAACTTCTACACTTATGTGCCAAGCTCTACGTTGAATATTCCATCATATGAAAAGGGAAAATTAAACATTTATAGTAGGACATTAAAAAAAGTGACTATGAGATTTGAAAATAAGAGTTGTTTATATGGGGGCATGTTCGAAAATGACAATGGAAAATTCTTTTGACTGGATGAAGATCGTTTTAGGCAGCCAGCAGATGAAGAGGAATTTGAAGCGTGAAGAGAAAAAGCTGATATTTGAAAAGAGCCAACTTATTCCTTGGTAGACATGGGTTAAACAAACGTCTTTTGTATTCATAATTCTATTTCCTGAATACATATACCGAGGGCTTCTACAATGTAAGAGAACCGGAAGCACATTTTATCGAGTAAATTCCTTTTGTTTTAGAAGATAACTAGTCGGACGACTTAAATACCTGACTTCACAGGATTAGATGATCATTGTGTGGAGTAGGTTCTTCAATAGGCTGAAATTTAATGAGCGTCTAGGTTGAGAAATCATTCTTCTTAGGATATCTGTGGTAAAGTCGAAGATTATATGCACTATCGTCTTCGAAACTGACATAGTTTAGCTTCTATGTTTTCCTACACAAGTTGTACTTGATATCTTTCTCACTCTGTCAACGTTGCCCTTAAAGTTTAACTGTGAATTAGTTAACTGGTTAATATCTTGCATCTGACTATGGAATTTCTGTACGGTAATTTGACAAACCAATAGCATTAGATGATATGGAATACAGGATTATTAGGTCGACTTTCATGCAACGAATCCATATTTGAAATGTCTTGGCGTTTACTTCAATCTGGAAGATAAATGTTATCCTAGGTGCTTACATAATAAATGTGTTTTATGGCCTAGTGTATAAACCTTTACCGGTTTATTGAATTGAAGTATATGCTTGTCATACTGAAGGTGTTATATGAGATATCTGGTACGCAGTAAGCCATTGAATTATCACAGATATGATTATCATCATGAGGAGGCATTGAGTGATGTTCACGGAAAAACAATCGGCTTCAAGTGTCCTATAGGGTTTATAGTGAAAGTAGACCTCTTATGTGCGCTGACATGGTAACCGATACATACTTCAACTGAAATTTCAGTTAAGATACTAAATAAAACAAAATAAATTTTGAAAAAAATCAATTTTCGTTTATAAGAGGACTAGATTTAAGGCTTAACCTTCAGCTATACAACTTATATGTCAATCTAAAATTCTGTTCTTATAAATAAATGCTTATCAGTTATGCGGGAGGTTCGGTTTCGATTCCCAGCTGATGAACTATTAGACTTCATCTAGTGTTTTTCTCTGTGGTAGTAAGCCTGGAAAAGAGGGAAGGTTGGGTGTAGGGTCGGCAACACCAGTGCTACTGGAATTTCCAGTCTTGTAGCTCTGTATTTCAGTCAGAATGCAAAGGAAAAATGAAACACTTGTATTCGATGATAGAGCTAATGTCAGCAATTTTGTAAGTAAGTAAGTAAGAAAAATTTCTTATTTCTCCTAGTCAACTTGGTACATTATGGTCACCAAGAGATGTGCCACACAAAATCTCATAGTTTATGCGACGGCTACGATAATACCCAGACTGAAGCAGGTGCTTCTCTTAAGAGGCCACTTCCCTCCCGAGCTTTTAACGTGAAGTCTGATCCATAAGGCAGTGGAGCTACGTTCCCATGGTTTCCGGTAACCGAAAAAGGTTCATACGCTATTCTATCCTTTCGGATTCTGGAGCCCGTATTTTCCGGCTCCCTTAGGTAGACCAACATGTCCTCCAGTCCGGTTGTAAGCACCAGACGTCCGCAGTCGACCTTTCTCTTTTGTGAGGACCAACCCCGCCTCGTGATGGCACTAGATAGGACTTACGTGGCAGAGGCTGTGAACGTGTGGCCATATGAAAACATTTCGTGAAGAGGACTGAAATCCACCCACCCTCAGGTCGTTTATGAGGTCAAGAGAAACTGCAATCGCTTGTTGATACTGCAGTCTCTAAACACAAACGGTATGATGATCTTCTAGTGGGGGGTATATATGTTAAGGTTGTGCTAATATTATTGCTAACTCCACCTAATCACTCTTGTTCGTAAACAATATGTAGAGTTTTATGATTATTAAAATCCATAAACAATTATTTACTAATATTTGCCTAAATTGTGTTCATTACTTCGGTGTGTCATTTGTCAGTGTGCATGTATGTATACAGCTAACGCGGATAACTTTCAATAGTTATCCTATAGAGTATTAATACTCAAGCTACCTTATTAGTTTTCCTTACCCCATGTACTTTTTATGTATATTATTCATTCTGGAAAAGAGAATTCACATTGGCTGTCTGTCTGTAGTATTCACTCTTATGTACTTAATTCTGAGATAATGGGCGTTAGTTTCCTTCCTGTACAAGTCAGTTTTCTAGACTTCTATTCTTATCACTCTTATTACTCACTCTTAATATGACTCATCGATCAAATTTTGGTACATATTCTTATTTTGTGAAGGTTTTTTTCTCTCAGTATTTTCTTTGTCTGGTTTGTCTAGCATCATGGTAGGCGTATAAGTGTTTTAATCACCCATATGAAAGCATAAAGTAGAACAGTAGATGCTTTTATTATTATTTTAACCTAATTACCAGAGAGAATAACAGTTATCCAGTGCACCATTTTAAATTCCTCTTCACTAAATCGATAATTTTTTGTGGATGCTAATACTAAAAATGATGGAATGATGAGTATTAGGCGGCTTGTAGCTTATTGGTTTAAGCTCTAGACTTTCAATCAAGGAGGCAAGAGTTCGAACCCCACCCCAACTATCAAGATTTGGGCAGTCAGTTAGTATCACTAACCTTCATACAATAGGTATGGCTCATAGCCAACTGTGCATGGAATTGCAAGCGGGCTGTCGAGTAATATTAACATTAAATTATTTAAAGCCATCCAGAATAGAATTACAATGTGTCAGGTTGTGAGCCACACTTATTGTGTGTGTGGGCGGATGATACTACTCATTTGTCCAGGGTTAAATAGGTCTGGTGAGATTCCGACCCCAGACATAGTGGTTGAAAGTCAAATGTCTGAGCCAATGGGTCACATCTCCACGAATATGAGTATCCCGGCTATCAACCAAGGGACGTGTGTACTGCTCAGCAGTTCGCTCCGTCCTTCTCTATGGCTCTGAAACATGGCCAATACGAGTTGAAGACATGAAAAGGTTGTCTGTTTTTGATCATAGATGTCTAAGATCTCTTTCTCACATTAGGTGGTATAATAAGGTAATAAATGTTGACGTTAGGCGTAGAGTGTTGGGCAAAGAGGGAAAATCAATCGAAGAGGCTATAAAGTTACATAGATTGAGATGGCTAGGTGACGTGCTGCGCATGCCTAACCATCGCCTCCCCCGACGGACGGGCATTACTAGCTGATATAGGTGCAGGTTGGAAAGAGTAATGGTGGCCAAAAACATGGCATCAATCCATGAAATCCTTGACAGTTAAACTGAGTCAGGTAGGGAGATGCAGACTTCCGGGTTTGGGCCCTCGGGACTCTAAGAATCAATCAATGGCTGGAGACAATAGGTGACATGGCTCAAAATCGTTGTCAATGGCTTACGCAGATGTATTCAGTCTCTGTAATCTTTCATATTCCTTTCTACCATTACTCTTTCTGTTTCACTATTATACTTGTCAAAACTCTATTGATTCTCTTCACTCACTTGCTTGTCTACCTTTGTGTGCTATTTGGAACGTGGCAACTCGAACTGCTGCACTTCGGTGCCAAGTTCTATGTTGAATCCAGACAGACAGACAGAATATGAGTATCAGCCAATTAAAATAAGGTAGTACTTATAACAGCCTCCCTCTGTGTGTCTCCTTCTTACTTCACATTACGATTGATTGACTGACAAATTAATACAGGACTTTACAAAGACTTACATCAATCCAAGTTACCGAATACTCCCATACATACATACATACACACACATAAAGGAAGAGGACGGAAATGGAATGATATTACAATGGATCAACATAAGTAAAAAAAGTGGTAAAGAGAGAGACGATAGGTACTCATTGTCCTAGGAAGCCTTATGTCGGTTGTTTATGCTTGACAGTATTCATCTATTGCGGAAGATCTCATTGCCTAGCAACTGATTTTCATAACTTTTCAAAACAAAAATTTTATTTTCTTATTTCAGGCGAATCAAATTGAGAAAAGAAGAAATAAAACACATGTCTCCGCTCTCGCCTTATCCTGTGTCTCTGGCCTAATTTATGCTTACTCGAAACAGGTTAGTTCTGTTTTGTTGCCTTTCAAAAGTTTTTTTTCCTACCTATTAAATATTCAGCGTGTTTTAAAATCGATCACTGGTATCCAATGCTACGGAGCTAAACAGATATGATTTCAGAGGGGAATTTCCGCTTTGTTTGTTTGTGAAACTGCGGTCTGTTGCTTGAGGAAGTCGGTTTCTAACTCTGTTCCACCTGGTTGTGTATCAGCCAACAGCTCTCAAACTATGTTTATGGCTTACATTATCAAATGCATTTGAATTCATTCGCTTATTAACATATAGACACATATTTACGTTTCCTCTTTACTTTACCATCTACAGTAGAATCCAACGAATGTGCACTGAAGACACAGTTGATGAGGAAGAAAGAAAGTTGACACAAACTCTGGTTCATAATAATTATCCAGACAAATTCATCAAGAGATATAAAGTAGTTAGAACACCAAGACCCACTCTCCGACTCGCCGTTAAGAAAGACGTGTACATCAAGCTATCCTATATGGAGAACCATAGGAGCTTGATAACTAGACAAAGATTGAACGCCGCTGTTAAAAAGACTTTTTATGTAGCTTATATGATAATAATTGAGAATGTGAAACCGATATATCTATCTCAGCCCTTTGAACATGCGAAAAATGATGTTGCATCCCACCGTATTTACCAATTCGAATATACGTGTGGACACATATACATGGGGGGAACTCATCGATCTCTGCAAGTAAGGGCTTCAGAGCATTTTTCTAAGTGGCTTCAGAAGCGAATAGAATTCCCAGAACCCATTAATGGTGAAAACAGGAGACCTAGCTCCTCTATTCCGAAACATATTATTGAGACAGGACATAAAACTGACGTTTACACGTCTTTTAAACTTATTTATAAAACGTGTTTGGGGCGTATCCTAAAGTTTGTGGAAGCCCTAGCTGGCAATTAGAAAGTTTAAACCACCTTTATGCGTTCAAAAACAATTCATCATCACACTAAACCTTCTTTGGTAAACTTTATTTTGTTTTTACGAGTTGATCACGGATTGATATCAGTTAGAGAACCGGTGGGTGCGTACTGCCGATGATTCCCAAACTAGGATGAAACAGCAACTACAGAAAACTTTGTTTTGATACCAACTAGGGTAGATGTACTATTACCTCTGTTATTTGGTTTAGTGATGTTCATTGTTATTTTGAACTTTAATATGTCCTTTTAACTTGACCTAAATTTGTTTTTTCATCTCTTAACTCTATTAATTTCATGTATATTCCTATAACAAGTTCGAGTGTATGATCAGATTGTTCAAAATGTGTTGCTCAAATACATTACACGATTCAGACAAATTACGTCTTCTTTGAACTTGTGATTATTTTAGCATTCAGTAGTCATAACTCTTACTCTTCCATGCTTATCCATCTCATTGTCTTATTGTTTTCTATTTTAGACTAACGAACAGTCTCAACTGGAGGATTTCGCTGTAATCTTATTACGAAGTTTTGGTTTATCATCTGATAAGTCAAATAAAAATCAGTCATCAGTTATAATTCCTTCAGATGTTATCGTTGACTACATCATTGAAAGCTTTAAATCTGCTCAAAACAATGCTCTGTTATGTTCAATTCTCTTGAATTACACTATCCCGTGTTTATCTTCTCCACTAATCTCAGATTCTGCTGGGGATTCTTGTCATCTCATCAGTACAGAAGAACTAAATGTCACTGTTGAGAAAGTTAGTAAAAAATTTTTGTGGTATATTGCATTTTGTTTCATTTATGGTATATCTGTGTGTAGGTGGCACAGTGGTAGACTGCTTGCCAACCACGCCTCACTTGGTCCGGGGTTCGATCCCCGGCCACAGACACACTCCTAAACCTACCTAAGCAGGTAATAAGACCGGTAAAAAATGAAGTTTAGGAGTGAGGTTAGCAATCCTACCCCATAAAAATAAACGCCACTACAACCGAGACTTCAAAGCTCTAGCTTGAAGCCCTATGTTCCACTGGGAATGTCAGCTTATTATAAGTTTGAGGGTTGGAAGTGCTTATGAAAGTGCGTGGACGGCTTTTACTTCCCAGCTGTCTACATCGTAGAAGTTGATTTCTTTTTGGGACACCTGAAACAGAAAGGGAATTAGAGTTACATGACGGCACAGCCCAGGGGACAACTACTTGAGGTCCGGTCTCACACGGCCTGTTTGTGTTGGTTTTTGGAGTTGTTTCTGTGTTAAGATCTTACCGCATCGAGGTAATTCGGTATGTATAGTTTTCGGTCTTTTCTGACCCCTCTTTGCAAGAGCGGAGAGGCAGCATAGCTGGTTTGCTGGTCATCTGAGGGAAGCACCTTTCCGCCGTTACATCCCTATTCGCCAATAGACCACGAACATAGTGTAAACGTCTGATATTATGATGGTGACTGCTTTCAGTCTAATCGTTATCCAAACGACATCTCGGACAAGGTAGGACCTGCAGAAACATTAGTTCCACCCAGTGTGGCTCATTGAGTTATTGCGATATGCAAGCCCCACCATCACGCTAAGGTGCCAGCTATCGGCCGGGATTTCGCAGGTATTTTTCACTATTTTTTGTTATCATTGTTCAATTTTAACCTGTCTTTGTTAATAGAAAATTGGAAATAGTGCCTCCTATTATTTATTGGTCATTTGCTTCTTCAACCTATGCAGCTCAACAGATTATTCATTATTATTGTTCCCTTGGGTTACTAGTGGAATATAGGGCTTCAACTGCACGTCTCCACTCGCTTCTGTCTTCAGCTGTACTTTTCACTTGCATCCATGTTAGTCCATGCTGTTTCAGCTCCTCTTCACACGATCTCCTCCATGTCACCCTTGGTCGTCCCACTCGACGCTTCCCTTTCGGGTTCCACTCGAGCTATGGCCTGACGCGCGATGTCACCCAGCGGCCTCCTCAGCGAGTGTCCAATCCATCTCCACTTTCTCCTGCATATTTGTTGGGCGATTGGTTCTTGTTTTGTTTCTTCCCATAGTTTCTTGTTGGTGATTCTTTCCGGCCGGCCATCTGATCTTCAGTATAGAGCGAAGACAGTTGGAAATATTCTTGGTGACCCGCCAAGTTTATGATCCGTATAGAAGAACTGACTCACTCGACGTTTGTATTGAAAATCCGAATTTTGTTGTTGATGCAAGCTGAGTGACGAAGATTTCCAGATTGGTTTCAGGTTGATGAATGTGTTTCTCGCCTTTCAGATTCTCTATTTGACATCCTCGTCCGTTCCTCCTGTAGTTGAGACAATGCTCCCTAGATAAGTGAGTGAATGAAGTAACCTGTTTCAAATCCCTCCCGTTGATGGTGATTGGCGCTGGATGTTGCTGCTGTTGTTGTTGTTGGTTGGTTATTTTCATAACCTCTGTCTTGTCTATGTTCACCTGGAGTCCTATCTTTGCTGCTTCTTGGATCAGTTTGTCAGCTTTCGCTTGTAAGTCTTGGATTTTGTGTGATATCAAACATAAATCATCCACGCGCGAAATCGAGGTCTTCCAGATTCTTCACGTCGGTCCAGGATATCCCTGTCTTCTCGTTTCCCACTGTCTGACGCATAATCCAGTCCACCACCATTAGGAATATCATTGGTGATAATAAGCACCCTTGTCTGACTCCTGTGTTTACTCCAAAAGCCTCGCTGAGTTTTCCGTTGTGGATCACTTGACATGTGCCACTCAACAGACTAATAAATATTTAATATATGATGGATGAAAGGATTCATTTAGATAGTTACTTAGTTTGTCCTATTTTACAATGCAGACTATGAGTTACCCTGTTTATGATGTCCTATTCTGTTGCTTGATTACCTCGGTTGTAATAGATATGTCAAGGGCCTGTACCATTAAGTCGGACCTCCTTTTTCAAAGGAATTCATGCCCGTATAAATCAAGTCTGCAATCTGAGACCTTATCACTGAGTTATTTTTACTCATAAATGACCGTGATCCATTGATATAGGTGCTTGACTTCTAATCAATTGGCAACAGCCGAGAATAAGCTTCGTTGTTTTTAGCTGCTAAAATCACCAGCTTTCATACAATAAACAAGACCTAACCGAGTGTATTGGAGTTAGCTGCACTGTGCTTTGTTTCACTACCTATAGGACTATATTGGGTTTACTGGTGGTTCATATTCTTAGACGAGACAGTCAAATTTATCAATATTATTATCCCCTTAAGTTCCGAATGGAACGTAGGGCCTCAACGGCCCATCTCCATTCCATCCTATTCTCTGCAACCTTTTTTACCTGGACCCACGATTCCCCAAAAACTTTCATCTCCGCCATGTCACCCTCGTACCCCATGCCCAACTCGTCGTTTCCCATTCGAGTTCCACAAGAGGCTATTTCTGGCTTGTGGTGTCACCCAACAGTCTCCTCCGCGGATGTCTGATCCATCATTCATTTTATTCGGCATAATAACAGCCCGTTATTGTGCTGTCCTCATTTCAGCTCATGTGTATACATTCATTTTGTCATGTGTCACACTTCTCAATTACATTTCTATTATTGTAATACCTTTACTGTCAAAGTATTACAGAAAAATATAATCCTTGGGGGGGGGGGTGACATTTTACCATACTCGTATAATGCAAGCTAGATTTGCTCGGTCGATTATCTTTCATTCTTCAGTACAACAATAAGTACTTAATTTTAATAATTCCCATTGTAGCATTAAGAGCACAATATTCAACGAATTTATTATCAAGCTGTACAATCGTATATATATGGGTTTTTTATAAGAAATTATATCCGGTGAGGGAATTAGATCAAAGGTGTGAGTACATGAAATAATAATAATAATATTTAATTGGTGGATGGTGACTAGCAATGGAATCCAGGATGTGCATTTCGTCCTATTTGGGACTCGTCATCTGGGGATGTACCTGCATTTCTCAGTGAGTGGTGATGTTCCCACCGAGGCTCGAACCCAGTGCCCATAATAGTATGAAATGCAATTAAAATGTTTGTGGTTATAATCATAGTTAAATGTCAAGTAGCAAAACAATTAATGTCATATATAGAATAATACATAAGGTGTATAGATGTTCGAAAGGGGTGCATAATTATAGGATTTGTAGGCGAATATAAAATGTTACATAATATGGTGTGAAATTTGATACAATAGAATTCAATATTGTAAAAGTAAAAAATAATAATTTCAGATTTAGAATAACAAGTGAGACAAGTGGAAACAATTCAGAGTGAGAATAATAATAATCGTAATAATGAGGAAAGGTACATAAAATAACTAAATAACAAAATACATAAATAAATAAATGTCTATCCCTGTACGACCAAGGCAGGAGTATGGATTGTGCTTAAATTCATGAATTGCCAAGGCCTCCGCTGTCTTTAGAAGTCTGTAACGAAGAAAACGCGACTGGCAAGTTAGCATGGATTCGGTAGATGATCTTAAAATCATGGTCAGGGTTGGCAGAGTGACCGGAGTCGATCAGGTGTTCTAGAATAGAGAGAGCTTCTCACTAAAGTACCAGTGGACATTCAGTGTACATAAACTACATGAATGTACAGTGTGTATGTTGGAACCCAATGAATACTGACTCCTCTTTACATTTGAAACACATTACTCATGATAACTAACAGACAGTTAGAGATAGATATTATCAATCAACATAGGGGATGTGACATTATACTGAATAATGCTTCAAGTTGTGGGTAATTTGCTAACCAGACAAAGACACTAAAATACTGTTATTAAAGCTCATAGACGGGTCATAATCTTCAACCCACCAGTGATGAATCACTGATAAACTTTCATTTTATTTTACGTTTAAACACTTATTGTACTTTATCGCCATTATTTATGATTAATCGTGTACACCACACTAGATTTGATTTATGGGAATTTCAGATACCTTATCACCTTATCGTCTTATTATATTAATGCGATAGCTATTTGTAGTTTTAAAAAAAAATAGACAATAAAAAGTTTTTTATTCAATTATTTGCAAAAAGTTCATTTTAATTTGAATTTAAAAGCAAAAGATGAATTAATATGACACTTTTTATACTAATATTTAGCTTTTGTGGTGATAGCCAGTGTTGCCCTTATGATTTGTTAAAAAATAATAATAATAAAGAGATGCACTCAACACACCTTCAAGATGCTTTATTTTCATATAATAAAAAGATATGTGATCAAAGAGCCCTCATATATTTATTAAAAACAAAAGAAAATTAAATTAAGGTGTTTTATATGATAAAATAAGCGATTAAATATGGATTCACTATTATAGATAAGATTTTATTTTGATAAATCACACAGTGTTATCCTGTGATATTTACTGATGACCACGTTTCGAGGACAAACTATTGCTCATAATCATATGAAGTTACTCACACAACTTTTTACTTCATTTATATACATGAGTGAAATTGACTAGATATTTGAATAAAAATCGATATAGGATAATGTACATTCAGCATGCATTAACACACAAGAGGGTGGGAGAGGGTTAAAATTCTAAAAAGTAATATAAGTAGGTGGAGGGAGAGAGATTGATTACTGAATCCTGCCTGGTTCATCGAGTCTACACCCAACATATGCAACAGAAATGACTCAATGCAAATACCAGAGATATGTATGGAAGATATTATTACCAACAGTCACATCAGATGAGGATAAAAAATAATCTTAAAATTCTATTTCAACTCACGTACATTGTAACATTCTAACAAGTTACTTATT